AAGGTATTATTTATAAAGAGCTCTATTCATATTCATGTGATTGGAATAATCTTTGGTATATAAAAGCTAGTTTGTGTTTTGATGAAAACAGGCATGCCTTTACAGTTATCAAAATTAAATATAACACTTTTGTTCTACCTAAGTTTACTAAAAGTCAAGTTCACGTTAGGGCTTCCCAGGTGGCTCAGTGGTAAAGAACCCACCTGCCAATGCAGGAGACACAAGAGACACAGGTATGATCCCTGGGTCAGAAGATCGCCTGGAGCAGGACATAGCAACCCGCTCTAGTACCCCACCTGGGAAATCCCAAGGACAGAGGAGCCGTCACGAAGAGTGGGACGCGACTGAGCACAGCACAAAAGAAGACCCCTACGTTCATCACAGCATTATTTAAACAGTCAAAGCTAGGAAACAACCCAGATGCCCATCAACAGATGAGTAGTTAGAGACGACGCAGGGGTCTTCCCGTCTTCCCTGGTGGCTCAGGGGTAAAGAATCTGCCTGCCAATGAAGGAGACCTGGGTTCAATCCCTCTTCTGGGAAGATCCCACATGATGCAGAGCAACTAAGACTGCGCTCCAGAGCCCGGGAGCTGCAACGCCTGAGCCCACAAGCCACACCACGGGAGCCTGGGCGCCCTAAAGCCTCTGCTCCACAGCGGGCGAAGTCACCGCAGTGAGAAGCCTGCACACCACACCCAGGCAGCAGTCCTGGCTCCCTGCAACGAGAGGAAAGCCAGTGCAGCAATGCAGATGCGGCATAGCCAAAACAAATAAAAAAGATGTGTGTGTATATACACACTCACAATGGAATACTAATCAGCCATAAAAAAGAATGAAATGATGCCATTTGCAGCAATGATTCTTATAAGGAAGGAAGGAAGGAAGACAGCTAAAGACAAATATCACATGATAACACTTATGTAGAATCTAAAAAATCAGTAATACAAATGAACTTATTTACAAAACAGAAATAGACTCACAGATACAGAAAACAAACTTACAGTTACCAAAGAGGAAAAAGGGAAAAACTAGGAGTTTGGGGTTAGCAGATACAAATCACTATGTATAAAACAGATAACCAACCAGGTCATACTGTATAGCACAGGGAACTATATTCAATATCCTGTAATAAACCATAATGGAAAAGAATTTGAAAAAGGATAGACTGTATACACAAATTACTGAATCACTCTTCTATACGCCAGAAACTAACACAACATTGTAAATCAAGTATGCTTCAATTAAAAAAATTCTAAGTGGAGTCTTTTTAAAAAAATATTTATTAAATAAATAAATAATATTTATTTACTTGGTTGTGCCAGGTCTTAGTTGCAGCATATGGGATCTAGCTCCCTGACCAGGGATCGAACCCAGGCCCCCTGCATTGGGAACAAAGAGTCTCAACCACTGGACCACCAAGGAAGTCCATAAGTGGAGTCTTTTAAGCTCAAACTTACTTTAAGGTTTTCCAAAAGGTCCCTGGAAAATTCAAAGGATTTGTCGTTCACCAGATAAGATGTTGAGCTAATTACATTTATTTGACTCGTTACATTACTTGGGAAGCATTATCAAAAAAAAAAAAAAAAAAGAAGTGATGTTAAATCTTCTTAGATTATATTTGTATGATGCATGTTATTAATATAGGTGGTGTTTTAGAAATTCCTAGAAATTTGATATATCCTAGTATAATGTTATCAATCCTAACTCCAGTTTTGATCTTAAAATTTGTATATCACATAAATGACCAAATTTCCTTGTTAATTCCACTGTAAAAAAAACTCTCATCAAATCTTTAATCATGGGCATTTTAAAGTCTTTTGGCTACAGACTACTACTGTTTTATTCTGATGCTTTGCAAAGGTCAGATTCAAGAAAAGGGTGCCACTGATAACCCTGTCAAATTACAAGGTGTCGAACCTTGGGTGCATATTTCACAACTGAAGAAGACTACCTGACATCTGGTCCTGTGCAAGCACTGGAGACCTCAAAATCAAATTGACTAGGAAGAGAAGCAGCCAACTGCAAAGTGGACTGCTTCCTCCAAGATGTCGGATCAAGAATATTTCTACAACAAAAAACCAAATAACCCGATCAAAAAAATGGGCAGAAGTCCTAAATAGTCTGTGTGTGCTCACACTATCTGAAGCAACACAGATGCAATCAGAGATTATCATACTAAGTGAGGTAAGTAAGAAAGAAAGACAAGTACCTTTTGCTGAGCAAGGGGGTAACTGTGCTGTAAGTGGCCCATACCACTTCCTATATTTGGACTGACACGTCTGAGGAAGTTAAGACTCAGGTACGTAAGATCACCGGATAAGTCAGCTGACTTTGAAAAGAGACCCTCCTTCAACAGTCTTTCTTTGACGTACTTGATTCTGATTGGCTTGGGACTTGGGGACTATGGCTCTCAAGTGCACTCCAAACACTCCTCCTTATAAAAATCGTAGTTGTCTCCTTCATATGCTGTATTTTCTCAAAAGTTTTAAAAGCATATTTGCAACTGCTAACCACCAAACCAAGGATTTCCCAAAGAATCTCAGAAGAGAATCAAAGAAAAAACCCAACTTAAAGTGAACCTGACAGGAATTCCCTGGCAGTCCAGTGGTTAAGCCTCAGTGATTTCACTGGCCTCAATTCCCGGTCTGGGAACTAAGATCTCGCCGGGTCCACAGTGCAGCCAAAAAAAGTGAGTCTGATATTGTGAATACAACACAGAGACTCATCAAAAACAGAATTCCAGAGTTTTGCTGGGAGTAGCACTAAAACTTAATTTTTTTTTTTTAAGTCACATCTCTCAGGCTGAGACTCTGATCAAAAGGAGGACACTGTTTAAAACAAAACAGGCCCAAAATGGAGTTGCCTAGGCTGTTTCAGGTCACTGCTACTGTTAAGTCACTTCAGTCGTGTCCGACTCTGTGAGATCCCATCCCTGGGATTCTCCAGGCAAGAACACTGGAGTGGGTTGTCATTTCCTTCTCCAGTGCATAAAAGTGAAAAGTCAAAGAGGAGTCGCTCAGTCATGTCTGACTGTCACTGAACCTCAACTTAATTAGTTTTGGTTCTCACAGAAATGGACTCTTAAATTTAGTCAACCTGGAATCTTGGGTAATCTGCCTGAGAGATTCCTGCCAGCCCTTAAAGGAAAGTAACCTTGCAATAATTAACCCACCTGTTGCCTCATATAACTTCTTGTTCCTACTTCTTTTCACCTAGAAAATTATTCAATTTGGACAGCTCCTCAGAACTCCTTTCTGTCTGCTAAGTCTTGAATGCTGCTGGGTTCCTGAATTCTTGAATAAAGCTAGTAAGAGCTTTAAAACTTACTTGACTGAATGTTGTTTTTAAACAAAACAATCCGTTTCAACTAACTCTTCCTTTTACTTTAGGTGCAACATGGCTTGGCTTGGTAAAAGTACTAGGCCCATCTTTATTCAACATTTTAATTTTTCATCTTTTCAAGCTTTTTTCCTTCAAATGCATTTTTAATAAATTGCACTAAAAAGTTATCTTGATTACTTCTTGAGTTTCTCACCCCCTTAAATTTTGCTTCCTCCCCTAGTGCGCTTCCCATCTTTCTTCCCTCTGAGTCTTCTTAGTTTCACCTGTAAATTTTCCGACAGTTACACTTTTTTCTTTCCACCAGCATAGTGCTAACATGTGGGATCCAGTTCCCAGACCAGGGATCCAACCCGTGCATAACGCAATGGATGCAGAGAGTGATCCAACCACTGGATCACCAGGGAAGTCCCTCTGAAGGTTATGTTAGGTAGTTAGAATAGGGAAAAGGAGTTCAGAATGGCGGTGGCTAAAAGGCCTGGAAGGGAAAAGCCTGCGAAAATAGAACAAAGGAGTGAGAACCTCAGGTAAAACAAACAACACTTCTGGCTGGCCCAATTTACATAAGACAGGCCCAGGGACAGAGAAGCATAAAAAGAGGAGCCAAAACCCGCTTCTCTCTCTCTTTCCCTTGCGATGGCGTGCTCTTCTCTTCGCGTCTTTGGGTGGACGTGCCCTCACACCTCGAAGATGGATTTTCCTGCTATTTTCTAAATAAATTGAGCTGTAACACTGATTTATTTAAGAGCTATAACACGGTCTGTCCTCCGAGAGCTGTGACCTGCCAAGGGGCTTTAATGTCCGTCACTCCAAATCTTTGTTGTGGAGAGACAAAGAACCGAGGAGCATGCACTCGCCTGACATCTATGTTAGTATTTTAAAGTTCTATTTTTTTTTCCTTAGCCTCCTTCCTTCTGTAGGATGAAGACTTTACTGTAACTCTGAGAATCTTAGAAACTCAAAACTTTTGCTCTGTTTCGATCAATTGTCCAAAGTAGTACTTTGGGTACAAAGCACTCCATTTTTATCTGTCTTGGCTAGTCTTTAAATGCTTCCCCTGACGATGATAACAAGCCTTGGACTAGCTCTTCAGGAAAAAAAGCCCTTCTTCAGATTATGAGAAGGGGTTTGCACCCGGGCAGTGCATTCTAGGGGACCCCCCCCCCCCCCCCTGGCCCCACCAACTGCAAAATGTGAACCTTGTAAAAGCACGAACAAATTCATTTCTCTAGAAGCAAGTCTCCCAGGTCATCTCAGCCCTCGAAACCTAAGTCTAGTCACAGTGACTCAGCGAATCTGAGTCTAAAGAACTGCACTCCTCTCTCTGACCGGCCCGTTCCAATTCAGAGCCAATTCCCGGAGTCAGGAGAGGCCTGGATAGCGCGCCCAACGGAACCCCGGACTCCATCGGACACTTCCTCCTTTTGTTCAGGTGGTTTCAGAACAGGGTCCAGGGGACATGCCTTCCACACCCACCCAGACCCATGGGTTCCTTACGCCCTATCCCCTAGGAACCCTTCCACATGGGTCCTTATACCTGCACTCAAACTGCCAGTTCTTCCTAGAACCTCAGCCAGGGCGTGCTCCGCCCTGCACCCCAGGGCCCGAGCGGCGGCTCCGCCTTTGCTGGCTAGTTTATGGGCCGGGCCGGCCAGACTGGGTATAAAGTAGCAGGCGCTAGGCGGCGGGCAGCACCAGTGACGCGTTCTAGGTGGCAGCTCGCTAAGCAGCCTGAGGACCTCGCCTCCCACCCCTCCCCAGCTTGAGTCACCCGGGCAACCAGCAGACCAGCCAATCGGCGCGCCGCCCGAGCCATGGCTGGTGAGTGTCCGCCCCCGCCCCCCACCCACTCCAGCAGCCGTGCGGTCCCCAGCCCTCGTTCCTCAGCAGGAGCTTGGGGTTTTCCTCCTCGACTCAAGACTGGAAACGGGGAGGCGTTAGGGTAGCTGGATGAGCCCTGGCAGATGCCGGGAGAGGAGGGGCTCCTGTTTCTACCCCGCCCCCAGAAACTACGGTGGGCCGTTAGGAGACAATTGACCTTGGAAGCAAAAGGTTCCTTCCCTCTGGGGTCAGAATCAGCCGTCAGAGACCAAACTGGCCCACTTGTACACCCTGTTTGACTTTAATAGTATTTAAAATCTTTTGGAATAAGTTGCTAACATTTAAAATACATATAGGCAATTTCACTTAAAAATGTGGGTTCCCAACTTTTTTTTTTTTTAGTTTAAATATTTGCTTGCGTGTATTTTGGCTTTTCTAAATAGACATTCACATCTGTAAACAATAGGATTTGGGCTTCAGCCCCAACCCCCAGTTCCTTACAAGTTTTTCTCATACATTGGCTAGAACTGCCATTTATTGTTGTTTAGTCACTAAGCCGTGTCCCGCCCTTTTGTACTCCATGGACCGTTGCACACCAGACTCCCCATGGGATTTCCCGAGCCAGGATACTGGAGTGGGTTGCCATTTCCTTCTCCAGGTTCCCAACTTCTGAAGGAAAATTGGAAGATCTGGCGATGGGGGTGCTTGAGCTAGGGAAGCTGCTCCCTTTTGTTTGATGGACATCAGACCCAGCTCCAGGCTGCTGGGCCAGGAGACTTTTCAGACTGTGACCCGTGGAGTGGGCAAACCTGATCTGGGTGCTCGTTGAGTGAGCCTCCCTTCTCCACCGTCAACCGTAGGGGGATCTTAGAGATCACCACACCTTGAATCTAATGTGTGGATGGCCTCTCATACATACTGGACCAGCTGCAACACCTGCTGGGTCTCGAATCCCTGTTTTCCAGACAGCCTTGCTCTGAGGTTGGGTGATGAACTAAAATCTAGATATCTATTTCCTTCCTAGAAGACAGAATTCTACCTTTTTGTAATTTCCTTCCCTATGAACCTAGTTCTACCTTCTGAAAACACACACACAAACACGCAACCTCATCTTTTTAAAAGTAAGTGGGTGAGGGAAGACATTGCTTTTGGAGTTGAGAGACTAGTTAGTTGCCCAAGAGAAAAGGGCTAAGCTGGGGACTGGAAGCCCACCCAAGGTTTCAGGGCCTAAGGGGTAGGGCTTGGCTGACAAGGCTTCCTGCATGCAGATTAGTGGCTGTTTCCCTCTAGGTTATTTGTTCCTCAGCTGTCTGGAGGACATCAATACCCCTCTTGAAATACTAGGACAAGAAATATTTCCCCATTCTCCAATCCTATAGAATGTTCTGTGTCTATGCGTAACTTAGACCAAAAAAAAAAAAAAAAAAAGGTTGGGGGAGCTAGTGAGGGAAAATGGGAAGATTTAGATCTTGTATAACTAGTATTAAGCTTCCTAGGTGGTGTAGTGCTAAAGAATCCGCCTGCCAATGCAGGAGATACAGCTTCAATCCCTGAGTAGGGAAGATCCTCTGGAGTAGGAAATGGCAAAAATTTATTTTGTGTTGATATGCTGATGTATCCCAAATGCCTAGAGAGGTGCCAGGTGCATCCTAAGTGCTCAGTAAACCAAGGTGGGGAGGCTGGGTCAGTGAGAACATTAGCATTTCAAGGTGGGGAAAGAAGGCTGGCTGGTGTGAATGTAGAGTGGAAATAGAAGGTGTAGGATGGTGGGGACACAGAAATGAGGATGGACTGGGAGCATATTGCTTAGAGATTGAGACCTGAAAAGCAACTGGTGCAGGGAGAGAGAGGCATTAACAAGATGTGCTTAGCTGTGTTACATAGTCACTTCTAGCAGATGGGTTAATCATGTGCAGGACAAGCAAAACTGAATGGTAAATTAGAGGTACTGATAATAACCCCATTTGTCTTCCAAGACTCAGCTCAAATGCAGCTCTTTCTCAAGGCCTTTCCTGAGGGGCTGGCCCTGAAGTGAACAGTTTTCCTCTGTTAGTTACTTGTGTATGTGCCTTATGCCTTTCTTTGAGTAAATTCTGATAAAGTCAAGCTTGTGTAGCTAGTTAAATGGCAGGAAGGGAAACTGAGCCCTCTAAGTCCAAAAAAACTCAGATTTGGCCATGAAAAATGACCTGAAAATTAGAGAGGTGGGCTTATCTCTTGCTTTACCCTTACCTCCAGCAAATATGCACAACTGTTCTATTGATTGCCCATTTATACCCTCTGACCATTTTTCTACTGGATTGTTTTTAAGAATCTATATATTTTAGATTTTGAACTCTATTGGTTATATTTTTTGTGAATATATTCTTCCTGTTTGAATCTCGTCTTTTTTTTTTTTTAATTTTTGAAGGTAACAGTCATGGCTGTACTGTAGTTAGTAGATGTAAGCTCTTTGAAAGTAAGAGATAGGTGTCTTGACTTTCTCATTTCCTGGGAATCACCTTTATGTTTTACTACTTATAAAATGTTAATGTTGGTAAGAAGTGAAACTACATATATATAAATTTTAAAAATTAAAATATACATATGTAGGTAAGAAGTAAGCCAAGAGAATAAAAACTGACAAAACAGTATTTAGTAAACTGATATGCCTAATGCAAAGACAAATCACAAAGAAAACGCATGTTAGAGTTTAATATACTTACATTGCTCTCAGTAGTGTTCAGTCCATGAGTTGATAAGAAATCGGGTGGGAATTTGTTGAAGCAGCCTCAGGAATTCCTTTTCATTTTCCCGGGCTATATCAGAAGAAACTAAATCACTGCTGTAGCATTTAAATCCTCACCAAATTTATACCCCACGGAATCTGAGTTTATGGAGTCCAAAAGGCCAGGCCAAGCTTGGGAATCCTTCTTTTTTTTTTTTTTTTGACAAGGGGGAACCTAAAGCTTACACATGACTGAGTTTAAGCCAATGGGAGATGCCTATGCCAAGTGTGGTTAATACTGAAATCAGGGAGAGAACTAAAGGCTTACAGGTGCCTTAATTTTCTTCAAACAATACTATAAGAAGTTACAGGTGTACTCTCCTCAGTTCCACCCACAGTCACTGCTTTTAAAGAGTTAGGAAGGTATGAAATTGTAGCTCCAGTTTCGGGAGGATGGTGGTGGTAAACTTCCTTTCTCTGGTACTCTTCCGCATGCCCTGCGTGTTGTTGTGTGGATTTCTCTATATATATTTTCAAGTTATTCCAGCTTCACCATTTAAGAGGTAAATTTGGGTAACTTGCTTAAAGTTTCTGTGCCTCAGTCTTCCCATCCCTAATGATATTAATTCTGTTTACCTCACAGGGTTGCTGTGACAACTGAAAAAGCATACAGAGTACTTAGAACAATGCTCAGCATGTAATAAGCACCCTTTACATGCTCTTGTTGCAGAATAGGGATGTTCTAATGAGTTAATTAACACAAAGGATGTCCAAGAAAAAGCTCATCTTCCCCTCTGCATCTACCCCCTTGCCATCTCTTACTTGCCTAAAAAAACTGTTAACAGTGTCAGGTGATCATGCCACATCTTTTTCTCTTCAGAGCAATAGACTGCAAACTACCTACAAATATGGAGTTTCTTTTTTATAAAAGTAGATTCACATTCACATTATAAAGATTTTTTAAAATGTGGACCATTTTTTGAAGTCTTTATTGAGTTTGTTAGAATATTACTTGTTTTATGTTTTGGTTTTTTTGCCACAAGGCACATGGGATCTTAGCTCCCCCACCAGAGACTGAATCCACACTCCCTGAATTGGAAGGAGGTCTTAACCACTGGACTGCCAGGGAAGTCCCCATTTTATCATTTAATGATATATCCCGGATATCTTTCAGGGTGACAGTATATCAATACATGCAGCAAACTCATTCTTGTTAACAGCATAATATTCTATTCAGTTCAGTCGCTCAGTCGTGTCTGCCTCTTTGCGACCCCATGGACTGCAGCACGCCAGGCTTCCCTGTCCATCACCAGTTCCCGGAGCTTACTCAAACTCATGTCCATTGAGTTGGTGATGCCATCCAACCATCTTATCCTCTGTTGTCCTCTTTTCCTCCCGCCTTCAATCTTTCCCAGCATCAGGGTCTTTTCAAATGAGTCAGTTTTCAACATCAGGTGACCAAAGTACTGGAGCTTCAGGATCAGTCCTTCCAACGAATATTCAGGACTCTTTTCCTTTAGGATGGACTGGTTGAATCTCCTTGCAGTCCAAGGGACTCTCAAGAGTCTTCTCCAACACCACAGTTCAAAAGCATCAATTCTTCGGCACTCAGCTTTCTTTATAGTCCAACTCTCATATCCATACATGACTACTGGAAAAACCAAAGCTTTTTTTTCTCCATTTATTTTTGTTAGTTGGAGGCTAATTACTTTACAATATTGTAGTGGTTTTTGCCATACATTGACATGAATCCGTCATGGATTTACATGTATTCCGCATCCCGATCCCCNGCTGGCAATTTGATCTCTGGTTCCTCTGCCTTTTCTAAATCCAGCTTGAACATCTGGAAATTCACAGTTCACATACTGTTGAGGCCTTGCTTGTTGAATTTTGAGCATTACTTTGCTAGCATGTGAGATGAGTGCAATTGTGCAGTAGTTTGAGCATTCTTTGGCATTGCCTTTCTCTGGGACTGGAATGAAAACTGACCTTTTCCAGTCCTGTGGTCACTGCTGAGTTTTCCAAATTTGCTAGTATATTGAGTGCAGCACTTTAACAGTATCAGCTTTTAGGATTTGAAATAGCTCAACTGGAATTCCATCACCTCCACTAGCTTTGTTCATAGTGATGTTTCCTAAGGCCCACTTGACTTCTCATTCCAGTAGAATATATCATAAAATTTATTCAAATATGCTCCATAAACAGGCAATTGAGGCTATGTTTAATTTTTGCTAATGACTACAAGGGTCCAAGGGTTCAGTACATATCCTTGCTCATCTGTCCTGATGCTTACAGTCTGTAGGACAGATTCCCCAAAGTCGGACAACTAGATCAAAGATTTATGTGTCTTTTTTTTTTTTTGCCCCACCCCCCGATTTATGTGTCTTTAAAACGTCTAAAGATTCAGCTTGATTACTCTCACCAAAGGCTGAGGCAATGCATATTCCCACTGGCAATGTGCCAGTTTTCCTGCACTCTTAATAGCCCTTGATGTAATTTGTCTTAAGTTGTTTTGCCAATCGATCAGTAAATAATGATGTCTCATTTTAATCTGTTCTTCCTCACAGGCCTGCCAGGGCACCTTCTCATTTGTTTATTGTTTTTGCAATTTCCTTCTCTGAATCGTATCCTTACTGCATTGTCTTTTTCTAATTATTTGTAGGCATTTTGGGGGGATTTTAACTCTTTTTGGTAAGAAGAGTTTTGTGAACATCTCCTGGTTGTCAGAGTACCTGTCTGGTACTCTGTTTACGGAACCTTTCATTAAACACAATTTTTAATGTTTCTGGGGCTTTATCTGTCAAGCTTTTCCTTCATGGTTTCTGAAGCTGTACTTTTTTTTTTGTCACTCAGTCATGTCTGACTGTTTGTGACCCCATGGACTGTAGCCTACCAGGCTCCTCCATTCATGGGATTTTCCAGGCAAGAATACTAGGGTGGGTTGCCATTTCCTTCTCCAGGCTGTAGTCTTTCTTAAAAAGTAGCCTCTGTCCAGAGGTTATACAACTTCTCCCTTTCGTCCCATGCTTTTTAAGGTTTTAAAAATAACATTTCTTAAAAGTTAACATGTGCATAATAAGAAACCAAACAACACAAGAAGCAAAAAAAGAAAAAGTTATCCATAATCAGTTTACCTTTTGATGTGTCCTTTCTAAGTCCTATCTGCATATTTAAACAATTAAGCATCCTTTTTTTTATAATTAAGATCATACAGTTATGTGTCATGGTTTTTTCACAAATTGTGAATATTTACCATTTCAAAGTCCCAAAGCTATGAGTATTTTGATAACCAATGATACACTACACCAACTCAATCTAGAAGAGAAAAATGTAATCCTGCCTTTCTTGGCAACAAAAATTTCATAAAAGACAAAAGTGACAACAAGCATCTAGATAAAGGTATTGGCAGAGTTTATAATTTAAATACTGTAGTCCCTTGATGTTCAATTAAAAATGAGACTTAAAGCAACACAGTATATAGAGCATCCCATACTAGTCTGTTTCAGTTTTTAAAATTTAGATCTTTAATCTGCCAGTAAGTTGTTGCTGTATGTGATGTTAGTGGGAAACTTGTATTGAATATAATAGACACACTGGAAAGTGTACAAGTTCTAAGTGAATTTTCACCAACTGAACACATGCTTGTATAACCTGCATCCATTTCAAGAAATAGAACAGGGGACTTCCCTGGTGGTCCAGTGGCTAAGACTCTGTGCTCCCAATGAATGGGGTCCGGGTTCGATACCTGGTCAGGGAACTAGATCCCACAGGCCCCAACAATCCTCCAAGCTGTAATGAAGACCATAGATTCCCAAGTGCTGCAATTAAGACCCAGCGAAGCCATATAAATATTTAAAAAAACAGAACACAGACAGCACCCCAGGTGCTTTGTCTCCTTCCAGTCATTATTCCCTGATGGAGGATAACCACTGTACTGACCTCTAACACCTTAGATTTCTAAGGGGATGATTTTATTTTTATGCAGATGGTTAATTAAGTATGCCAACACCACTTATTAGATTAGCTACTGTTTTTCCAGTGAGTTAAAAATCACTCCTTTGATCAATGGATTCAGTGGATGCGTTGCATAACCCAGTGTCTAACGAAATCACGTCTTCCATTATGGAGCCCAGCTGGGCTCCCCTGCAGCCTGAGCTTTGCTGGGTGGTGACTGATTTTCTCCATGTGCCTTGTGTGTGTCTAAATAGTCAGAAAAGCACTGATCGTACTGGCCCACTCAGAGAGGACATCCTTCAACTATGCCATGAAGGAGGCCGCCATAGAGGCTTTGAAGAGGAAAGGATGGGAGGTCACTGTGTCGGACCTGTATGCCATGAACTTCAATCCAGTCATCTCCAGAAAGGACATCACAGGTGGGAGCGGCTCTCCCCTTTAATTAGGTCTTTGTGGAACCTCTCCCTTGTGGGCTTTCTGGCCCCGCCTTGGCCCTCTGGCGTCAGCTTCTCTTTTCCTCTCTGCAGGTAAACTGAAGGACCCCGGGAACTTTCAGTATCCTGCCGAGACTGTTTTAGCTTATAAAGAAGGCCGTCTGAGCCCAGATATTGTGGCCGAACAAAAGAAGCTGGAAGCTGCAGACCTTGTGATTTTTCAGGTGTGGTAAGACATCAGAAGGGGTGTTGAGACACTTGCGTTTTTTTGTCCCAGACCTGACACCTAATTAGCTATGTGCTCTTAGGAAAGTCACAGCCCCTTGACCATACTCTCCTTAAAGAAGGATAATTACTTCAAAGGTGCAGTATTACACAGATTTATAGATGTTATGAAGCTGGCTGTATATTCTTTGAAAGTATGACTGTGACTGCAGAGATGACATGTGAACCTTGAACTCTTTCCAAGAGTGTTTAGTCTTTTCTTCAATTAGTAATTTCTCATGGAATCACTCAAGTTTGCAGTTCTCACCCCATCTCCGTAAGCATCCTGAAGACAGTTTTGTAGAGCGAGGCACGAGAGCTTGACTTCTCTGCGATGGGAGCTCCCAGTGCAGTGTGCACTGCCCTGCTCAATGTGTTCTAGCAGCAAAACCATGGCCTGTCTCCTCCTGGAAGCTACCTCACCATTTAGCAGTCAGTACTGAAACTGGGTATGCTTCTTGTAAGTCACCTTTCCTGACAACGCTGGGCTGTACTCAGTGACTTTGCTGCTACCAATCCCAGCCAGCTTTTTGGTATTAAACATGGAATGTATGCAACACTGGAAACTTCCTAAGAAGTTTGATACTGGCTGTGATTTTTGCAGTTACGCAATCAGCTGCAAAGACTCTAACCTTTGAAGTCTCTTATTCTACCTGTTGCTGTGAATCAGAGCCACATAACATTAGCCAGTGCCCCAAAGGATCCCTTTTTGGTCTACATTTTCTACTCTCTTATTGCAGTACAGCCAAGGCAGTGAGCAGTAGCAACTGTCAGTTCTGCTTCTAAGAATCACTATATTTTAGAATTGGAAAGGACGGCCTTTCAATTCAGCTTCTATCCAATGCATACATTTTCTTTACTACCAGTACAACTGTATAGGTTGCACACTGCAAAATAGCAACATAATGAAGGGCAATGTAAACTCCACAGATTTGCATATTTATTATATCAGTTTTGCAACAGATGACAGGAAGCGTCTTATTCCAGCAAAAGCAATATGCTAGAAATGATAGTCTGGCAACATTAAAATAAATGTCCTGAGGAAGGACTGCCTTCATTCCTACCAACGTGCCACATGGGCTAGGCCCTGCTCAGTTGTCTCACTTCTCCAAAAGGAACTTGAGAGAGTAAACTTTTAATATCAAGCAAGCCAATCAATTCTATTTTCAGCCCTCACTGTAGAGCATTCACAGGGGACCAGATCTACTTGCTTGAATAACCTACACATCCTAAAAGCAGCAGATATGGCCTGTCACAACCGGAGCATCTTAAATGTGAGAATATGAGAAGCTACTAGAGACCCCTCAAGCCCCTCTTTTTATGGATGAGAAAGGGGCTTGTGTGGCAGAGGTCATGCCTCACATTATTGGCAGATTCAGGGTAAGAATGCAGGTCTCATTCTCAATCATGTCCAAAACTTTACTTCCTTACTCTCTTTCCTATAGGTCTACCACTCTTCAAAGAGAAAACTACCAAGTCCTACAAATTTCTTCTCTGTCCTAGCTTTTTCTTTTAACCTCTGGGCATGTTCCTGTCATCATAGCCTTTAAGTGAGTCAAGAAGAAATACTGGTATGGCCTTGCTCGACTTTTACCAGGACAAGAGCCCAGTAGGTCTTTCTTGTGAGAATTCCCTGACGAACCTTGGTTACGCTGATCATTTGGTAGCATTTGTGAGTGGTTTTGTTTATTCTAAATGATAGGATTTTACATCCATGAGCACAAGGTACAGGTTTCATATTTGTGATACCACACCCACTGAAGCAAGTTCTTAAGAAAATATTGATTTAGGTGTCACACACTGAGGCCAACTTTGCCTGCAATACTTGCTGTTTAGACTTTGCTGCCAAACGAGATTTCACAGAAACAAGTCTTTATTTCACGTGGCTCTCTTCACACCCACCCGGTATTTGTTATTTGTACGTAGGAACAGGAGTGTCTAGTTGACTGACTAAGGACAATGATTTTCTTTAAAATTTTCTTTTCTTGAATGTTCTACCTTCTCCAAGAGGAATGACAGGGCCTGAAGAAAGTTTGCCCCTCGGTGATGTCATGGACAGCAGCTAAGCACTGAATCTTCTGTGCTGGGGGTGTTCCCGATCTAACCTCTCTGTCCTCTGTCCCTCAGTTCCCCCTGCAGTGGTTTGGAGTCCCTGCCATCCTGAAAGGCTGGTTTGAGCGGGTGCTCATAGGGGAGTTTGCTTACACGTATGCTGCCATGTATGATAAGGGGCCTTTCCGGGTAGGTGGATAATTGTTTTTTTTTTTTTTTCTAATGCCTGGATTTTAGGAAGATTCTGTCTTGAGACAGGGTTTTGAGTGCAGTTAGATACCACAGTCAGGCTCCAGGTACCGTTGGGAGAGATGTATGGAGATTAGATAAGCCTAGAATGGCAAAATACTGAGAGTTAAAGCAGGATGGTGGATATATCATTATACTATTTTCTCTTTATGTATTGATATGTTTGAACTTGCCCATTAAAAAAAGGAGTCTGTCTTCATTTTCTAGACACCCAAAACTATACAAGAAGCATTTTTGAGACCTAGATCACAAGCTTGATCAATACACTAGATCAACACATGCCTAGTACTGTGAGGAGACAGATTTAAAACACTCCACCTAGGCACCAGCAGTCAGCACTGATTTTGCATTACCATGACAGCCTTCACCTGACTTGCCACATGCAAGAGTGTGGAATCCTGGGCCTGCCCCTCTGCGTACCACTTTCCAGGCTGGTACTTTTGCAGAGTCATACTGCATGGCTCAGAAGAGCCAATGTATGAAGTAATACAAGGAGCCGATCTAGGCGGAGGTGGGGGTGGTGGTGGTACTTTTATATTCTTTTCCCTGAGGCTGATTCATTAACTTCTTGTCATCAAAGAGATGTGGATGCTAATGCCTTTTCTTTTACAGAATAAGAAGGCAGTGCTTTCCATCACCACCGGTGGCAGCGGCTCCATGTACTCTCTGCAGGGTATCCATGGGGACATGAACATCATTCTCTGGCCAATTCAGGTATCTAGTTTTCAGTGACCCTTCGGGGGATTAACTGAATTTTCTATTGGGTCCAGATCCTCCAGATAGCATTTCGAAACAGACCTGAGGTATGAAGATGAAAGAACTATAGAAGGGGCTTCCTCTTAGGACTGACCTGTCTTCCCAGGACCCCAGGCTTATAGAATAACTCATGTGTGTACACAATACCACTCTCTCCTGCTAGCCAGAGGATAGCGTGGATGACTCCCCCAGGTTTGCACAGCCATGTGACTGGCATCTCTCACCAATCTCCCTGTCTTCCTCCAAGTTGCTGCTGCAGTCTCACAGACTATCAGAGCCCAAGAAAAGTTAAGAAATTATTTAGTTCAGCTGATAAAACTGAAGTCTGAAGCAGGTTTTTTGGTGGTCACTGGACCCTAAGGATAATCTGGTAAGGCTGGCAAGAAGAGCACGTGAGGTGGTCATCTACAGGATGAAGGAATCAATATTAGTAATAACATTGGAGAACAAATGGCAAGAACAGTTTATGAAGACTCGTCTGGTAATGTGGAAAGGCAGAGAAACGCACCTCTGCAGGTCTTGGCAACAGTCAGCTGCTGAGAAGCTGAAACTCTCCTTGAGGTAACCGAACTTTCGGTGCTTTTGGCAGATAGTGCCAGGTTGGCACAGTTTCAGAGGCTTTATTCATTAAGAGAAGACTACAGCTGAATAAGCTAAAATAGGTAACAGCTAGGTACAGAGAGCACAAGGTGAGAGGAGGGAGCTATGAACTAACTCTCAAGGCCTTCACATCAGGGTGTCCTACTGGGAAGCCCAGATTAACTTTCGCTGTCTGTGGTACAAGGCGCGTGGCGTTTGACCTGTGACTCACCTCTGTGCTCTGTGTATCCCCAGAGTGGCACTCTGCACTTCTGTGGCTTCCAAGTCTTGGAACCTCAACTGACATACAGCATTGGGCACACTCCCGAGGATGCCCGAGTTCAGATCCTAGAAGGATGGAAGAAACGCCTGGAGAATATTTGGGATGAGATGCCGCTGTATTTTGCTCCAAGTAGCTTCTTTGACCTAAACTTCCAGGCAGGATTCTTAATGAAAAAGGAGGTGCAGGATGAGCAGAAAAGTAAGAAATCTGGCCTTTCTGTGGGCCATCACTTGGGCAAATCCATCCCAATGGACAACCAGATCAAAGCCATAAAATAAGATTCACAAGACTGGACTTCCTTCTAAAAATGTAACCAAATCTTGGTTTCTATTTTGAGCTTCCTTTATTTGCTTTAGTTTTTAAGATCTGTGCTTTTCTTTTTCCACGAGGAATGGATAGTAGAGAACAGACTAAATTCTTATGTTTTCGCATAGCTCTTTTAAACGATGTAACCAATTCTTAGGATTGCTGTCATGGCAAAATCCGCTCAGGCTCGAAAGGGCTCTTAGGGTGTAGAGCAGACAGAAGTCAGAGACGCCAGACGGGATTCTTTAGGCCTCTACACAGTTCAATTCCTCTCTCTTTAGGGATGCATCGTTAGGAATAAATCTGGCTAGAGGGCATCCACACTCCTCAATGATCTATTTTTCTTTAATTACCTCCCTGTGGTTTATGGCAGAAGGGAATTGCTCAGAGGAAGAAACGACAGAATCTGTCTGACCTAAGGGACTTAATAATTGCTACTCTCTGCTTGTTTGTGATATATATTAGCTTTATTACTACACAATGACTACCATGCCTATATGAATGTCCTTCTTCCTTCAACTTTGTTGTTGGTTAATACAGATACCTTGAAATGAAAAGTTAATAAAAATCTTTTTCACTTCAATCTTCTGATTTGGTATCTGCAAATAAACCAATACATCTATAACTACATCTGCTATAGTGAATGAATTCACCTAAGGAAATAGTACGCCTAATACCTAAAAACAGCCTCCCACAAATAGTACTTCATTTTTTGATCCATATAACTAACCTGGAATTTTCCCCGTATCATTTATAAACTGATGACTTTCCTTTCAAGGATGTGTTTTGGTTCCATGAATCTGGGGGCAAAATTGTAAGCCTAGAGTTTCACTAACTTTGGTAAATGATTTTGGCATTCATAGTCTAACTTCCTGTTTAAATGACTGAGGTGCATCTCTACTAAGTGTTGGTATAATCCAAGTTGAAAATGATGAAAGAATGCCCTCTTGTGGTCCAGAGAAAGAAAACACGAGAAACGATGCAAAACAAGGTTGCCTCTTACCTGCCAAGGAAATGATGGCATCAGGCAGGAGAACTTCATGTGCCAGATGCCAGCAAGCACTGGGTATTCTTTCCATAATATCCACAATGGCAGATGGCTGGATGCTTCAGTTTGAAAACATATGAAAATGTTTCCTGTTGCCTTTATCCTCACTGCAGTTTTATGTAAATTTCTAAAAGTTCCAAATGAAATAAAATCCATTTCTATAAAACAAACTCAAATTCACTGGTTTCAGGCAAAAGTGGAATCTACCGGGGAAGGGATCAGAGGATTCAGTGATAAACTGTGGCCAGAAGCCTAAACGGTCACCTGGCTTAAAAGCATGCCCAATAGGGCTGCTTCATTCTGAATGGTAATGGAACCAATTAAGATTCTCTCAGGGGATTTAAAGGACATTTAAGATCAAGGAAGTAGTGCTTAGTTGCTAAGTCATGTCTGACTCTTTGCAACCCCGTGGAATGTAGCTGGCCAGGCTCCTCCGTCAATGGGATTTCCCAGGGAAGAATACTGGAGTGGGTTACTATTTCCTTCTCTAGGAGTCTTCCCAACCCAGGGATCAGGAGAGTGGTATAGAAATCAAGAAAAACACAGAATGTAATAAATAAATGCCAAGGGGCAATATTTATTGTGACTTGCCTGAATTATCTTGATTAATCAATGGGGCAGGCATTCTTCTAGGCACTGGGAATACAGCAGACAAAATACCTATCCTCACAGAGGATTGCATTCCATGATAGAAGAACAAATGTCAGTCAGGTGATAAATGTTAGAAAGGAAGAGCAGGTGAGAAGGTTAGAGATGGGATCCGAGTTTTATACAGGGTGATCAAGAAAGATCTAATAAGGTTATATTTGAGTAAAGACTTTATAATGTTAAGAGACTGAGACATGTGGATCCCTGAAGGAAAGGCATACCGGGAGTGATGTGAGCACAAACCCATGACGTAGCAGCATGATCAGTCTGTTTTAGGGAGCGAAAGGAACTTAGTGTGATCAAAGCAGAGAAAGCAAGAGATGGATGGGTCAGACACACAGCCAGGACAGACCACAAAGGGCCTTACAAGCATTGTGAAATGTAGAAATAGGAAGTCAGTCACTGGATGGTTTTGAGCAAAGGTGTAACATGGGGCTTATGTTTAAATCTGGCTGGTGTGTGAAGACTCAAGTATGAGGAGCAAAGAGAGAAGTAGAATTGTTGGGAAACTGTTATGACAATCAAGGCAACAAATACTTTGGTTCAAAGTGACAGCAATTGCTGTATTGAGAAGTGGCTGGATTCTGGATATATTTCAAAGGTCAGAGTAACATGATGACAGATTGTTATCAAGGTCAAAAAATACAAACCCTCAGAGGTATTTTAGCTTAAATAACTGGAAGAATGGAGATTTCACTTTGCTTAGATGAGGAAGAATCTGGAAAGAGAACTGGGGGCAGAAGATGGGAATGGGAAGGGGAGGATCAAAATTTGACTTCAGACATGTTATGTCTGAGATACCTGTTGTGACTGTCAAGTAGACAGTTGGGTAATAGGAACTTGGAATAAAGTCAACATGTAGAAATATATAAAGCAATGTGACTGGATGGGATCAACTGGAAATTGAGTTACGATAGAGAAGAGATATAATGATTGACTTCTAGAGGTCTCCAACATTAGGTCAAGAAGATGAGAAGAGAAAAGGCCAATGAAGCAAGAGAGATGTGCGTGGTGTCCTGACAGCCGAGGGAAGAAAGTGTTTCAGACTGTCAAATACTGCTGATAAGCTGAGTGAAACAGGCATGGGAATTGACTTTTGAGAGGCCACTGGTGGTGCTGACAAGAGCTATTTCTGGAGAGTAGGGTGATAAACCCTGATTGGAATGGGTTTAAGAGGGAATGGAAGGAGAGGAAGTGGAAATTGTGAATATGTGGGATGTGTGGTCAAAGAAAATTGTTTTTTAAGAGATGAGGAACATTACGGAAAATTCATATTCTAGTGGGTATGAGAAAAGGTTTTGATGCTGGAGAAAGAGGGTAATTATATCTATAAAACTGAATCCCTTTGCTGTTTACCTGAAACTAACCCGACACTGTAAGTCAATTACAACAGAAAATAAAAATCAAAAATAAGAATTAAATTAAAATTTAAAATTAAATTACAAATAAAAAAAGAAAGAGGATAATTAAAGGACCATGTATTTGAAAAAGCAAAAGGATATGGATCCAGTTAACCAGAGGCAGAAGAACAAAGCAGTATCAGGACTAGTATGACTAATACAGGGTTAACACGAGGCACTTGGTTCATGTGTGCCAGGAACTAAGTAGTTTTATGCTGATTAACTTACATAATTTTTATAACAACCCTTAGGGGATCATTCTAGTTTTCTTTCCACTTTATAAAGAAACTGAGGAATGGAGAAGTTAAACATTTGGTATAGGAGCCAGAACTTCACCCAGGAAGCAAACTCAAGAGCCTATGCTTTTAAATGCTCCTGTGCCTCAGCACAGGCAGGGGCAATGACCACGAAACAGAGCGTAAGAGCGGTCATCAGCTGTCTTCCTGAAAGACCGTAAGTGCTGCTACTGAGAAACTATAGCTATTTTTTAATTGGAAGATAATTGTTTTACAATGTTGTGGTGGCTTCTGCCGTATAACATGAGTCAGCCATAAGAGAGTGTGTGTGTATGTGTGTGTGTCCCCTCTCTCTTGAGCCACCCTCTCCCTGTCCCCATGCCACCTAAGTTGTCACAGAGCACCAGGCCAGGCTCCTTGTGTTATATACAGCAGCTTCCCACTAGCCATCTAATTTACACATGGTAGTACGTATTTGTCAGTAGCTGCTTTTACACTTCTAAAGTCCCCCTGTGTCCCTAAGCAGGGATAAATGATGTTCAGTTCTCTGACAGGCCTAATTATATGGCTGCTGAGAACTGTTTGCTCCTTATGAGATGACAAAGCAGGACTCTTATCAGCTTGAAGTAGAGCAGGAAAACTGTCTCCCTTGTTCTGGACACTGTAACTTAGACTATGTAACCCAGGACCACATCAGCCTTTCTGGCAGCCATCTTCAGATTAAAAATACCCAAATATTTTTGATATTTATACTTACTAATTGCATTTGGTTATTACTCCTTTCCAATGCTGCTGAAGTCCATAAATGCTAAGAGACAACTTTTAAACATATTTAGAACAATGGCAGCAGTGCTATTACTTTAGACCCCTAAAGTGAAAACTCATTTAGATGGATTATATACATTTGGATGTTAAAAAATTCAGTCACTTTCACAGAATCAACAGATACCATCTATATGTGATAAGAAAGTATAAGAAATTGTTTAAAGCAGCACTACTGAAGCTTCAGTTATTTATACATCACATATACAATATTCATGTATCACCTTTATTAGTATTTATTTAGAATTTTGGCTTTGACTCACATTTCCCCATAGTCGAGTAAGGAGACACATTATATATTTTTCTAATGTACATCCAAACACACACACATATATGTTTAAAAATAATGTTTACCCATGTAAATCACCTAAAATCATTCTGAATGATTAACTTATAAAAAGAGACTGCCTCTGGATGTGGGACTGAGGGCTGGGGAGACTTTGTTTTCATCAAAAGCACCTCCATAATTCATAACTTGTCACCACATGTATGTATTATTTTACTAAACATGAAACACTTTAAGTAAAACAAATAAAAATTCTATCACACTAAGTCACTTTTGTACACTACCCGGTAAAACAGTAGGTACAATGTCACTATTAAAAATATTTCTGTATTTCATACCTTTTCCTAATGACTTTTTTTTAAGTTCAGTCACATACTCATGTTGTTCAAAATTGACATTCTTAGATATGACTTCATTTGCAAAGTCTGAGGAAAAAAGACAGTTAACCACTACAAAATGAAAACTTTCAATGTTTTATTTTTGACTGCAGCTGTTTACAGAAATATAGTTGCGAGTATACAAATGTTCCAATAGAAGCAAAATATCTTTTTAATATTTAACAAGTTATCACAGATAGCTAAAAACATAGATGCAAATTAAATTCCCCCAGAGAATAAACTGAAGTATCTGGTGTCAGTGCTCTGAAATACCAACTATGAAAGCCATATACACAAAAATGTAACCCTTATATCATTGCAGGACAATGGAAGAAGGCAGTTCAGTGGTTGATCAGTGTACTCAAGCAAATAAAATTAAATAAAAAACTTAAATGGCAGAATGGTAGCTAAACCACTTGAGAACAGGTTAATGAAATTACTGTAGTATACTGATTAAAAGACTAAGTAAAACAAATGAATGAACTCAGTAAAAAGTATCCCAAAAAAGTAATAAATACTTGGAGCTTATCAATTCAAAGTAAGGGAACAAGGTGAAGCAGATACATTCATCAGATCAAAAGAAATTAGCTTAATGTCACTGGAATCAGTTTATCACTGAAAGTCATAAACACTTCTGTGCAGGACAGTTCTTTAATCTGATTCCAAAGTCACTCTCAAACATCTGAGATGGCATGTGTGTGTGTGTGTGTGTGTGTGTGTGCGCGCGCGCGCGTGTACTGAGGCTCATTAGCTAAAATAATAATAGTTATACAAACTATCTCAAATTAGGCAAATTACTTCTGGGAAAAGAAAGCATGGTGATATGGTTAAACACAGAACTTTTAAAGAAAATATTACAAGTTGGAGTTGAATAATATTGTGGTATGGTAGAATGCCTTACATAATAAGAATATAATATGCCATAAGGTGGTAAAGATGGTAACAGGAACAAGAAAGCAGGAATGTAGCTAGAGCATCTCCCAACAGTTTGCCTATATATTTCCAGCACCAAAGTTTGTAGAGTAAGCCACTTACATTTCCACTGCTACTATTAAGCAAAGACAGCAGTGGTGATTTTTATTTTGAAATGTGCACTTTTCTTTCATGAATTTATTAACTGGTGATTTGTAAACACCAGCAATTATGGAGGTACTGAATTATAGAGGGAGATTAAAATGAATAAATAAAGCTATTTATCTTATGGTTAGTTGCAAATAATAGGAAAGGGAGAAATGCCTAAACTAAATAATACACTGTCTTGTTTAACATCTCATCTGAAGCATAAGTTCCAACCAAGGGTAGTTATATTTCCAGTGCATCAGTTTTCATATAAAGCAAGCTATTTTAAAAGAAGATTTATCTATTAAAAAAAACAAATCAAATAAGGTGCTTTGTTGACCTGGCTAGCCATGTTGTTTAACAGCTCAGATACAAATGTAAATATAAGGAATGACAAATAATTTTGTTCTGAGAGTTGGTCTAGCCAGGACAAAACTGTTGTCTGCTGGTAAGGTAGGAGGCAATGAAAATGAAGCTTGTATTATCACTGCCCACAATGTACCCATTTTATGGATAAACAGGAGACTTTAGCACCCGTCAATTATGTTAGCTACTTAAACGTCACCATAGTTAAAATAAAAATATAGACCATTGCACCTATATATTTAAATCAGTCATTTAATGTAAACTTTTTAGTATGTGGTAGGAATACACCAAACTAAGTTAACTGAATTATCGATAACTGGACTAATTGTGTATGTACATAAAATATATTTCTATAGGTAGTACTGAGAATAAATTATCATTACCAGTAAATGATTATGGATAACCAGGTTAAACTGATTTTACATTTAGAACAATGTATAACTGTCTGTGTGGGTGGGAAAAAAGCCCTTTCTATTAATACATTTTACTGTATACACTATAAACCAGTGGTTCTCAAACTTTGGCATGCATCAGAATCACCTTTAACAGAAGGCTTGCTAAAAACAGAGACTGCTGAGTCCCACTCCAGAGTTTCTGATTCACTGTGTCTGGAATAAGGCCCAAGATTTTGTATTTTTAACTAGTTTCCAGGTGATACAGACATTGGCTGGTGGGCTGAGGACCACATTTTGAGAACCACTGGTTTATACATATATGTAGAAAACTATATACTATGTTATTAATATGAAACAAAAAATATAGGAAGAAAGCTGGTTAATTAACTCTCAAACATAGAGATTAGCAAGCTGAACATTTTAATGTTTCTAAAATGATTTTCTGAAGTGTAATCATTTCCCCTTATAGTCAGTTATGTCTCAAAGCCTTAGTAAGTCCTACTATACAGTCATTTTAGAAAATATTCCCATAATATTCCAAGTTGGCTATCCAAAATAAAAAGGGACATAAATATTTGAAACAGTTAAAATGTATTCATCAAAAGGAATCATCACTATACAGCATTTTTTACTTCTTTGGAATGATTAAAGTGCATAATATCATTAGGGTATTGAGAATATTGCATAAAGATCTGCAGTCTTTAGAGTCACCAGCAGTCATGAAAATACTCACATAGGGAAAGCTGCTCTATCTCTAAGTCACTACTATCCTGACCTGTTTGCTGCTGATGGCCCTTTCTTTAGGCACCACCACTATGGTGAGGAGCTGGAACATAGGCAAAATTAACAACAACAACAAAAAAAACAGAGGGACACCCGATCCAACTGTATCTGGCTGCAAGGAATTATTTTAGTTCTGGAGGACTCAGATATAGCTTCATTTCTTTGGCAACTATTTTTCATGGGCAGATTACTAAGGTTCTGATGGGCAAGAGGCACAAAACAATGAACTATTTGACTCTCTATCCTAAGAAAAATTGACATTACCAAGCTTTACCTAAACTATGTGTTATCGATTTTTCATCCATCTTATAATTAAGAGCAGAGCAGGTGCTTCAAACACTTCCTTTCTGAAAGTTAACCATACACATTTGAGCCATAGTCTCATATATACTAAAATTTTTGACAGCATTCAGATTAAGACTTACTATTGGTTGGTCAGGATGAAGACAAATTTAGCTAATTTATATAGAGTCTAAAAGAGGATCTTTCACTTATCCTCTTCCAAAGAAACGATCCTAGCTATATATCTTTTCTGTTCCTCTTCTGCCAATGGGTGTTAGGAAGGTTTGAAACTTTTCTATGGTGATCAAGAAATGGAGAAAAGAATTACTAAAAAGAAAAAATTAAAGCCGAGACTATTAAAGTCATTTGCCTATGTGTTTTTGGCAACAATGAAAAAAAAATTATAAGAAAGGGGCACTATCATGGTAAAAAGGCACTTTTCCATAAGCATTTAATCTAGATATAAAATATTAATTTAAAAAATTTCCTGAAAGTGGAGTAAAAATAGATTTATATTAATAAATGAGGCTAGAATGACACAAAAACAAAGGAGGATTAAAGAAGTAATTAGAATGCTGGGACAAGTCAAAAATGATATTCTAGGTATTATTCTGGTATTTACTACATTATGAACATCGTCTTCATTATTTAGCTCTAGTGACACAAATAAGCAGACAGGAAAACCTCTTTTTAATACATGTTATGAGATTATACTACCCCATTCACTGGGGTATACATATTCCAAGTCATTTTTCTAATAAAGCCACTGAACTATACACTCTCTCTTTTATTAAGTCCCTCCACAAAACAAAGGCATGCAGATATAATATAGCTGTCTTGCTAAGGGAAGAAGCCTGTGGTCATGAAACAGAATGGTCAGAAGCTAATAGGTTTAATATAATTTTCAATTAATTAGAAAATAATCAACTAGAAAACAAATACTAAAACAGAATTTCTCACCAGAAAGATGAAAAAATTCTCAAGTACTCCCAGTGAGTATTTATAAAACCATGTTGAGTTTTGAGGCTTTGATTAATTTTAATTTAAGCATTTAATTTCTGGTCTATAATTGCTGATACATCTAAAAAGGTTATACTTTTCCAAAATAAGCATCTATAATGGCTTATATGGTCAAAAGGAATTATTCTCTTAGATCTAAGGGGGACTTAGATATAGTCTCCTTCTCATTCCCTTTGACACAGTTTTTCCTAGGTGGATTAACTGAGGTTCTGATGGGCAAGAAATGCACTGTAATGAAATTCCCAACTACAGCATAAACAATATTACAAAAAAGAAAGGAAGGAAGGTCCCTCACTAATACTGCTTCTACGATAAACAAAGCCCTTTAAAAATCTGTTCTAGGGAGACTGGCGAAAACAGATTTGCATTGGTTAAATAACAACATGATACTCTAATTACAAAGGTAACAAGATAAAGCTAAGAATCAAAATACAACTTCTAATTGTTGTATATAACTTCTCCCATGTTGGTGTGGATATATAATGGAATGACAATAAGGAATAAAGGACAAACACACACATACACACACACACTCATGCAGACATACAGATAAGCTCCAAGCATTCATGTGAGTTCCTAAAGGCAAGAACAATTGAATGGAACAATATAAAGGAATAAAATGTGGTTTATAGTTCACTTAAATCCTTCTGCCATAAGTAAATTTAATAAATTGTTGTTTCCAAGAACTCTGCTGGCTCTTGGAATCTCTCCCATATATAGATGTAACTTGTAACAGTAATCTTGAATCTGTATTATGAGCACAAGTATCAACCACTGACTACTAAGCTTGCTCTTCAATTCGAAGACAAATACTTTTTGTAACCAAATAACGTTCTGAATGCTATACTTAACATTGACCTTTTAGCAGTAAGGAACATTTAACAATGTTAAAAAAAAAATCACTACTGAATTAAGAATATGGTATCTTAGCACAGCCCTTGTACAAATAACCACAAAATTTATGAAAATAAAAGTTGGGTTTTCTGCCTCCATCCAATCAAACCACTACAGTTCAGGTGTATGTTCTGTTCTAAACTGAGATATTACAAAACAGAAAATTGGTCCCTGGTGACTTGGCATTGGCAATCAGCATTTTACAATGATAAACTTCTTGCTAAATAACAGAAATCAGCACACAAGCCAGTCTTCTTGCCACCACTTCATCCATAGAGCAGTGTTAACAGTGGAACTTGATGAACAAATAGATTTTCCTGAGTCTCCTGTGTAATCTCTTGGGAAAAAAATTCAGAAAACTCAGAAATAAACTTACAGCATTTTATTTCTATTTATTTTTATACCACTGGATAAGCTTTCTAACATCAGTCAACCCTCTGTAACTAGTTATCCATTTTAAAACTGAAGCACTGGATTGTGTGGCTGGTCCTTCTCATAACCTGAACTATACTGGGTAATTTTTCCTGATGGGGTGGGGAGATATATATATATGTGTGTGTATATATATGTATATACACACACATACATATATATATAGATAGGAAAATGCATTTGGTTTAGAGAATTTATAAAGTAGCTCTGGATATTACAAGATGGGGAAAATGTTATTAAAATTACAAACATTTTTTTAGTGTCTTTATAAATAAAAGGCATAGAATACAGAAAGCCAATTAATAATAACAATAACAACGATAATAAAATATTAAATATATAGTGAGCAAAGACTGGATGGCTCATTCTTGCGAAACACCATTTGACACAACTGCCTAGATGGGTTTCCTTACTTTAACATTTTGCTGAGTGTAAGATCCAGCAAACACACAGTAAGCTGACTTTAGCCCACTAATCACATCAAGGAACTGCCTGATGGAATGGCCACAGATGAACAGGTCATTTGTTTCAAAAGATACTTAAATACTCAACAAAGACATAACAAACCCCCCCCCCCCCTCACTTTTATCAGACGCCACGTTGTGGTAGAACATCAGACAAACTCACAAATTTACCACAAAAATGTGTGGCAAAAAAAGAATAGTTTATATATATGTATATATATAAATTTCTATATTTATGCCAATGTACTCACTCAGTACAAATAGCAAAATAGTATACCATTTCCTAAATACAAAATATAGCTTTCCAAAAAAATGAAACACACATTAGATATAAACCATCCAAAACTTGAACGATTGAAAACTGTATTCAAAATTAAATGACCCAGAGTAGGTCTCTTTCTGAAAAGTTCCCTTCATATCGGCAAGAAGCCTGTACTACTGAAAACATAATTCAATGCCTCTCAATCAGAGAGAGAAAGAAAGAAAGGGTTGGGGGTGGAGGGAAGAGTAAATGAGACCAAAGAGAATAAAACAAATTAAAGAAGAGTACATTCAAAGAACCAAGGAAGACCATCACAAAAAGGGGGGAAATTCCGGCTGTATAAACAAAACCAACACCACAATTCCACAAAGTTCAACTAAGTGTATAGGATAGAAAAGACAAAAACAAAAACCAGAAATGTAGCCTTCTACAAACAATTAACAGGCTATTTTTTGTACATTTAAAAAAATAAATGAAACGGACAAGAATGCCAAAACATCTTATCTACATATAGAAGCCACACACAATTTGGCCTTAAACTGTATTAACAGCTTTCTACATGCCAAAAGGAGAATAAGACGTAAGCATATGTCCAGACAACAGGTTGTAGTGAGAAGCAGGCATCCCATGGGTGGTGAGAACACCCAAATCTGTATAACTAATACTACAACTGCAAGTTCTGGAGTGTGTTATTTTGCTCTCTATTGATGTAACACAAATGAATTCTTCACTTTAAGTCAATGATATGACCCTGTAAAGCCCAAGGCTTGTGGGAACCATCAGGTAAATGACCACTTCAAACTGTAAAGCACTGAGGTGACAAGTGAATTACACTCACTACAGCTCAGGGAGAAGTGATGTTTCAAGAAATTTTAGTTTGTCTCTCTGTGTTTAATTAACATTTACACTGCTTCCTGTAAGAGGGAAAAATTTGAAGACTTCAGAACAGCACCGTTCATGGGGGAAAAATGCATTGTTTCTTATCTCTCAGGAGTCAGTTCCCCTCATTCCTGAAAGGGTAGCCCCCTGCCTGTGCTGCAGGAGTTGCTGGGTTACCCTAGATCAACATGGTCTTTTCATTTAAGTTACTGCAGGGTCACAAAGCTAGTAGCATATTACTAACTGTCTAAAATAAAGTGAAGAGGGGAAGAATAACATAGATGAACATAAAAAGGGAATACCAGTCCAAGACTGGGATAAGAAGAAAACAGACTCAAATTACTGTCAGCTTTAACTAATGTAGGAGACTATCAGAACATAATTTACCATACATCATCCTCTTCATTTTTTTAATAAAGCAAGATATTTCTTTTTCTATGCACAGTTATGGCTAAAACCCTTAACAGAAACAGAGAATTAATGACTCTCTGAAAAATAAAATCAATAGCATTCCAGCTGTTCCCTGGTTGTAAATGTGTTGTCTGTGATAAATAGAGGCCTCTTATCCATGCAGACCTCTTAATACAGCTTACTTGTCAGAATGTTATCCCTTTAGTTTCTCCATAAAAACTGAGAAAAGATTCCTTCACTATAGCCAATAGCTGTGCTTTTTATACTGAAAAATCACAGCCTTAGTTATTATTTGAACTCTTTTTCATAAGCCACTACTTGACTAAACAATGCAGAAAACACAAATGAACAAAAGTAAACATGAAACATGAATTATTTTCTAATAGCAATAATAACTGAGTGATCCAGCTTGTCAATTTAAACTGTACTTTTAAAGAAAGAGTGCCTACGAAAATAGTAATAATTAATTCTGTCAGCTGGAAACAAACAGATTCTCAGTCATCACTGTTATTAGGAACATAAAATATAAAGATGTTAACAAGGGTGGTTAATCACTGCAATAGGTAGCCAAGGTGTGCTCTTTTGCAGCCAGAGTAAAATCTATCCATTTGCTCAATCACAGTTTTTCATATTTTGTTTTCTTTTTAAAGTGACAGTTCAATAATCCTCATGGAATCACAAGATCTCAGGATATCTTGAAATCAGGATTTTCTTCATGGAATTTCTAAAAAAAGAAGACGTTTAACGTAACTCACTAGGGAGGAAAAGCATTTACAAAGTTCCTGTTGCCTGAATGATCCCAAAGCACATCACAGTACTATAAATGATGCTTGACCACACTTACACTGGCATACTTTTTCAGATTCAAGGTTTACTTCTTAAGGAAGTGAAATATGAGATGTAATTATATCCAATATATAGTACATTCATCAGATGTTCTATCATTTCAAGGGCAAAGAAACTTAAGAACCAGAAGGAATGCCCAGTATTAACAATATGACTATAAGTTATCATTCAGAGCAATCAATTCAGGGTAAAAAAGGTACCATTTTGTGAGAAAGCCATATTTTTCTTTTTTTTGAGAAAGCCATATTTTAAAAGATCAGAGTCTAAACAGTGTTATTACTTAACCCAAATATGCTAAGAATAATAAAATTTATTGATGCTTTTCAATAAGAAAGAAGCCAAAATGCATTACTTACATATCCAGTTAAAAGGAGCCAGTTAAGTTGTTCCCTTGGTTTTGCAATGAAACAAGCAAATCAATCTTTTCAATGTTCTGGTTGGTGTTTATAGAGGATGCCATTGGAGAATTCTCTGGCATTTGCTGAGAAAGAAGTGTTGTCACAGGTGGTTGGCCCTCGTTTTGTGGCTGGCCTGGTGGACTTATGGCCATCAACTGATCTGGCAATGTACCTGGTCCAGAAGTTAAAAGCTGACTACAGTCTGCAGAGACATTGAAAACAGAGAAGCTACTTGATTAGTTATTTTCTGTTAAGATTCATAAGAAGGTATTTACTAGTGGCTGAGGTATATAAATGCATTATTTTGTTCACTCAATAGAGACTTAAAAGCGAGGAACCTGACAGCCTCCAAAAACGTTTTCATCAAACAGTGGTAGAATTCATCCTTGGTTTTCTCTAAGCAGTATAAAAATACAACATTGTTTAGTTATCAACGTAAGTCCTATATAATTTCCTTGGTACATAAACATTAAAGAAACATGGGTTTCTACCTCCTTGGAAACTACTTGCTTTAACTGGCTGAAAAATTTTCTGTCATTTGTACTTCATCTTCCTTTCTAGGTCATATCTCAAAATGGCAGACACATAACGTTTATATATATCACCACCTTTAATCCTCTCAATATCCTTGTCAAGTATGTAGTATTACCACCATTTTAGATGTGGAAATTGAGGCTCATGCATGTTAAATAACCTGTCCAAGGTCTCAGTCTATAAGTGGTACAGCTGGGACTTGAACTCAATTCTGTCCAACTACAATCTATGCTCTTAAAACCACTATGTTGTGCTTCCTTCTGGTAACAATAATGTTACCATTTCAACCAATAACATTTAAGAAATGGGAAATTAGAAAGAGTTTCTTACTATTTTGAATGCCAAATAAGAACATTCCAGATGTCTGTTGAGAAGATCCAGGAGAATTCTGTAGCTGGTTCATTGTACCTCCTGTAGTGTTGTGAAATAAAGTAGCCTGTGGTTGAGGTGAAGATGTGGCTCCCTGGATTCCAGGCATGTTGTTCTGAGGGGAATAAAGGGGAGACTGTTGCATGTCTTGTTGGTTTATACCGGTCTGCAATGCAGACATGGATGCTGGAGAGAGGAAGAGTGTTACTTGCTGCTCTTGAGAACTGGGTGATCCTTGGACCAACTGAATCTGAGGTGAGCTATGGAACAAGGAGGTCTGTGATGATTCGGACTGGGCAGGGCCTGGGTTCTGAAGTGAGGAAACTGTGGTCTGGTTCTGAAACTGCATGGGCTGTTGCTCTTGATTCATTGGTGCCATATTATTTTGTTGATGGAAAATTGATTGGTTCTGTTGCTCCTGATTAGCCACTGGATTTTGACTTGGATTGAATATCATGTTTGGTGGTGGCTGCTTTTGAGACGCCATCGGTGCCATGGCATTCTGGTTGCTGAATAAAATGCTCTGCTGCTGCTGCTGCTGCTGCTGCTGCTGCTGCTGCTGCTCCTGGGATGGAGAGTTACTCTGGATGGCAACCATTGAGTGCTGTGACTGAAAGATTGTTCCTTGTTGGTTTTGAGGCATTGGGTTAGGAGGAAGGGAGCCCAGGGAAACCTGAGGCTGAAACAGACCTTGCTGGGAGGGTTGTGCCTGTTCCTGGGAAAGCATAGGGGTCTGAATGTGTGATATTGGAGCCTGCTGCTGGAAAGCAGCTTGCTGCTCAGTGTTTGATGTTGACTGAAGCGGAGAAATTGAATTCTGAGCTGCAAAAAATGAAATCTGTTCTTCTTGGGCCACTGTGTTGGTTTGAAGATTATTCATTGGACTTTGGGAAAGAAATATATTGGCTGACTGTTGGTCTTGAGGAACAGAAGAGCCCTGCAGCACAGCCATGGTATTCTGAGAGTGAAACATTGGAGGCTGCATTTGTTCAGAGGAGGCTGTAGAAGTCTGACTGTGGACAATAGGACTTGGACTGTGAAAAATAGAACCTTGAGTTTCCTGGGAAATGTTCTGGGCATCAGCAATAGGATTCTGAGGATGAAAAAGCTGAGCCTGTGAATGAGAAGACTGCTGCAAAAAATTCCCTGATTGAAGTGACATCATCTCATTACCTTGCTGGAATAAACCATTGCCTTGCTGCTGGGTACCACTATTTTGAACACTTATCATACTTTTTGTAGATGAAAAAAGGCCAACTTGAGGCTGAGTGTCCCCACTATGTTGCATTTGGACCATGGTCTGAAAGACACTGTTCTGAATCTGTTTTGCTTGTGCTCCAGTCTCTTCTCCATCTCCTGAATTTGATGTCTGAAACAGGGTAGTGCCAGAAGTTGCAACCTGCTGTGTGGTAGTTGTAGCAGTTTCATTTCCAGAAACTGCCGGAGGAGAAGAAAACAATTCACATTGCATTTGCATGTCCTCATTGGCTGATAATGCGCTCATCATATGAGAAGTCTGCTGGTAAACCGGAGACTGCTGAAGGTTTCCATTTGCTGAAGCAGATGAAGGAAACAGCTCTGACTGAATCTGGGCAGCTGCCTGGCAGATACTCTGTTGCATCTCTATCACCATTGCAGCTGAGGATTCCATCACTTGCTGTTGCTGCTGCTGCTGTTGCTGATTAGACAATGTGTTTTCATTCTGTGGGTGAACACTTTCAGCTCTTCCAGCTATTAAATTATCTGGTCTGGTATGGACTGCTGGTTCTGTTGAGGAAAACATTCCAGGGCTTACGCTATTTTGAATTTGACTGACTTGTTGAAAAATGTCTGCACTAAGCTGTTCTTGAACATTCTCATTACCATCTGGAGCAGAAAATAAAACTGAAGATAACTGTTGTTGTGCCTCTAAAACTTGTTGGACCAAGTCAACACTTCCATTGCTGCCGCTGGCAGTACTGCCTGTAAAACTCCCTGCCTGCAAGTGTTGTATCGTATTTTGTAGTTGCTGACTCACACTATTTGGTGATGGGAAAATATTCGATGAAATCTGCTGCTGTAAAGTCTGTGCTTGTTCTTGCAGTGGAGACTGCTGCTGTTGCTGTGATGTCTCAGTCAGGTGTGACAAGTTAACCACCGTACCATCTGACTGTAACACCTCTCTCGACTGAGTTTCTCTTGTTTGAAACTGTGTAGCCTGCTGTAGTAGTGCGTCGCTGCTGGGCAGCTGACTAGACACAGAAACCGCTGGAAAAGTACCAGGCTGTGAAATGTCCTGTGTTTGGATAGTTGTCAGGGTCTCTGGGTTGTATGCCTTGGGCTGAATCTGTTGTTGCTTTTCATTTTCAGAAGTTAAGTGGGAAGATGATGATGAAAAAGACCCATTTCCTGCTATGTGAGATATATTCTCTAATGTTTGTTGAGTTGATCCAACTGTCTTCGTAGTCTAAAAAATAAAAGCCAAATAATATGTATATGTATAAATGAGCTCATATGATTCTTCAAAAATTATTATTATAAAAACATATGCAGGACCAATTTCCCAGTCTATATTATTATTTGGAAAGCAAGTGTAAGACTATGATTACCAGTGATAACATTATGTCTTACTGTCATCAGGATTTTTAAAGAAGCATGTAAGCAAAGACAGTCAAACAATAGAAGTAGACATAGAAGAATAATCAGCTATGATATGCTTAGGACAGTAAGTACACATTAATTCTATGGTTCATGAATTACTAGCAAATTTTAAAATATCTTTTTTTTAAAGCTGTTTCCACAAACTTATACTACTTTTTAAATTTCATTAGTTCTTAATTTTGCAATCCAATCAGTATTCCATCTGATAATAGTACATTTTTAACTCAGTGTAAGTCATTCACATTTTAAAAATTCATCTCACAATTCCAGAATTTTTATGACCCATAATATATAAATTCTAAAAATTACATATGGAACATTACACTATAACATTACACTATAATTTTTGCCTTTTCTGAAAGTAAGATTAATAATTTGAGTTCTTTTCTACTTTATTTTATTTTTTTCCCCCCAATTATTTTTATTAGTTGGAGGCTAATTACTTTACAATATTGTAGTGGTTTTTGCCATATATTGACATGAATGAGCCATGGATTTACATGTGAAATATCTCCATTTGTGCATCACTTATAACATTATTGGGAGGGGGAAATAAGAGAAAAATGGAAAAGGAAAGAGAATCTTTCTTGGAAAAAGGAAAAAAGAAATAAGAGAAAAAGGAAAAAAGGAAAGAAGAAAAAGGAAATAAAATGTCTCTAGTTTTGAAAATGTTAAGCTTGTACTTTCATTATACCAAACATCACAAAGGTCCAGCTAATGCATTAATTCCTCTCTTGCCAAAAATGTATATTGGAAGTTCGCTGTAGGCTATTTTATTTGAGTATAACATCATTTATTCTACAGAGCAAAATTCATAAGTGCATCCAAAGAGAAACAGCTATAAAAGAAATAGAAAAAGTAAAAAGCATTATCAGGGAAAAGAAATCAAACTACTCAAAATATAACTATTTTTATATTTGAGGTTAACGTGACAGGGCACTAGTCAATGTAGCTCACCTTAAAAATAGAAGGCGATCTTTTCTCTGCTGTTACTTCCATTGGAGTAATGTCTTCACTTTTAATCATAGTGCTTGATATGAGCGGAGTGATCAGAGCATTAGGAAGCATATTTACCTTATCTAAGTTACATCCAGTAGTTTTCATTGCTGCACACACACCAAAAAAAAAAAAGTTGAAAATCACTGAAATCAACTATTATCATTCTACCGTGAAATATCTTAGTCATGAATCAAAACATTAATTTTTTGATGCTCTGATAGTAGCATGAGATACAAAATGTGCCCAAAGTGTGTCCTCCCTCTTTTTAAGTAGTAGAACCTTGAGGACTCCTGGTAGTAGCCTGAGACTACGAGTTAAATATCAATAAGCTTGAGCACTCAGTTATCAAGTTATACCCCCCAGCACTCTTAAAAGGCCCTGAATTACAATGCTTAACATGACCATGCAGCTGGAAATCTCCAGGGGGCTAAAGCTACTCAGTTACAACTGTTACATTCTCCTTTTAGTATCTGACTGCCGGGAAATTACAAAGTCAAACTTTGGGGGGTTACAGGATTGCTTGAACATTTCTCTCCTCAACAAAACTCAAGCTTCTCATTAGAAGATGCCATCAACTGATCAAACAGATTCACTCTTCTAAATTAATGTCTTAGAAAACTTGAATTTACCAAGTTAACATATAAACACATTTCTCAAGACAGGACTTAATTTTTTTCTTTTCAGAAATTTAAGTACAACTGATATTTTAGGTTTACCAATTAAATTTCCAAAGCAAAACCAGCAAGTATTTTTCTACTTCCATCTACTTCCATTTTCAGAAGTAGTTACAGACTAGAAACCAAGGAGAGGCAATATGTAGCACATAGGTTAGGTTCTAGCACTTCATTCTATCTACTTTTCCCCCTTGACTCTCTTTCTTCTTTTTTGTCTATTTAAGCCTGCCACTGGCACTTAGTGGAGCATACTGATGAAGCATCACTGATGGCAGGCTTCTGAATTGAACACATAGCCAAATTCTGAGCTAAGGTTTACCACTACTTTGAGACCCTATGTAAAGAAATACAGATTCCTTAGAAAGCTTAGCTGTTAAACTTTTTTTTTAGTTGAAAAACTAACATAATATTATATTAGCTTCAGATGTACAACAAGGTGATTCAATATTTGAATACATAGATTTCTTAATTTGATACTGGAAAAGAAATCCTGGCTACAAAGAGGGTTTTTAAATGGAATATGGTATATAAGCAGGATAGTTATTTTTCTAAATATTTTGACTTAAATCTTCTGGTCTTTATTCAGTCTTTCTCACAGCCAATTGACCAGAAACAATCACTATGGAAACTGATTATACTAGGGGAGGAAAAAGTGCCCACTTTTGATATTCTGCTTTCATTACTCTAAGAAATCAATCATTTATGCATGAGTTCTCTGGATCTATTTTCACCTAGATCCTATCAATACCAACACAATTCAACTTACAACTCAATTTTCTCTGAGTCAAAGCTTCAGATATAGGCAGGCATTTAAAGGTATTACAGGCCCACCTCACAGGATCATTTGAAAGACAATTAGTATTGTCTTATGTTGATCCTGTAACATCAGCTGCTATTCTTGCTTTTGGATTCTATTAGAATGTAAGTTTCATGAAGATAAGAGATCTTGTTTTGTTGTTTCTGGTGCATACTAGGGAATAAATAAATATCTGCTGAATGAATGAAGAAACGAATGCTTTCCATGTCTTGACATAATGTCACATGTGTGTATCAAGTTCTAAATCTTATTGTAATTGATGGCTATTTTAAAGGATGTTATATGGAGGATTATGCCACAACACAAATTTAAGTCATTTATGTTGCTAAGACTTCATCATTAAAGCATAACTAATTAAATCTCTCAGAAGGACACCTGGGTGTTATACTAAAGCTCTGATTTCAAGGAACCACAAAAATAAGCCATTGTCAAGGGAAATTCCTACTTGAAAGTGACTATCTTTTTTAAACTTATCAGGAATCTCCAATTAATGATGTTGTATTTAAAAATGACAAATGAAAAATTTAAACTGATAAAATAGTTTGAAAGTGAAAGTTGCTCAGTTGTGTCTGACTCTTTGTGACCCCATGGACTATACAGTCCATGGAATTCTCCAGGCCAGAATACTGGAGTGGGTAGCCTTTCCCTTCTCCAGGGAATGTTCCCAATCCAGGGATCGAACCCAGGTCTCCCACATTGCAGGTGGATTCTTTACCAACTGAGCTACCAGGGAAGCCTGATAACACAGTTTAATATTCAATTTAATTTTATATCTCCATAAAATTATTTTACATGATTTCAGCTGATAAAATTATCAAAATAAGATCTGAATTGTGAAAAAGAATAATATGTGTGTGTCTGTTTCTTATTCATTTTTTAATCTTGTAAGATTTTGATTAAATGACTATATCATTTTATTACCAAAAATTAAACATAGTGTTTAACACCTTTTAACCTTCAATCTGTAATCTTGTATGAGAAATTTCACACTGGATGAGGTTAGCGTCCCTGATACTCTAGAAAAAAAGCATTTAGGAGTTTTTGGAGAAAAGCATGAACCCATCAAAGTTGGCAAAGGAAAGACCAAACACTGTCCCTAACTTTAATGATTGATTAATTATGCTATTATTAACCTAATGAACATGGTTTGAATTATTATTGCTTAGATGTTACCTTACACACTACAACTTGATCTATCTTTTTAAATCCTAGCTAAATGACCTTCAGCAAATTATAGAACCTCTCTGCAATCTTGATTTCCTCATCTGTGTAATGAGAATCATAAACTACCTACCTCAGAGTTTGGCTAAATGAGATAATGCTGGTAAAGAGTGTGGCATGCTGACTAGCACTTAATATATGTTCAAGAAACATTAGCCATGGTTATCCATAGCAGAGACTTGTAAATTGTCCTGTAGTTAAATCAGATAATTATGCACTTAAGTTCAGTCGCTGAGTTGTGTCAGACTCTTTGCAACCCCATGAACAGCAGCATGCCAGGCCTCCCTGTCCATCACCAACTCCCAGAGTTTACCCAAACTCCTGCTCATTGGGTCGGTGATGCCATCCAACCATCTCATCCTCTGTCATCCCCTTCTCCTCCTGCATTCAATCTTTCCCAGCATCAGGGTCTTTTCAAATGAGTCAGTTCTTTGCATCAAGTGGCCAAAGTATTGGAGTTTCAGCTTCAACATCAGTCCTTCCAATGAACACCCAGGACTGATCTCCTTTAGGATGGACTGGTTGAATCTCCTTGCAGTCCAAGGGACTCTCAAGAGTCTTCTCCAACACCACAGTTCAAAAGCATCAATTCTTCAGCACTCAGCTTTCTTTATAGTCCAACTCTCATATCCATACATGACTACTGGAAAAACCATAGCTTTGACTAGACGGACCTTTGTTGACAAAGTAATGTCTCTGCTTCATAATATGCCATCTAGGTTGGTCATAACTTTCCTTCCAAGGAGTAAGCGTCTTTTAATTTCATGGCTGCAGTCACCATCTGCAGTGATTTTGGAGCCCCAAAATAAAGTCTCTCACTGTTTCCATTGCTTCCCCATCTATTTGCCATGAAGTGATGGGATCAGATGCCATGATCTTAGTTTTCTGAATGTTGAGCTTTAAACCAACTTTTTCACTCTCCTCTTTCACTTTCATCAAGAGGCTGCTTAGTTCCTCTTCACTTTCTGCCATAAGGGTGGTGTCATCTGCATATCTGAGGTTATTGATATTTCTCCCAGCAATCTTGATTCCAGCTTGTGCTTCATCCAGCCCAGCGTTTCTCATGATGTACTCTGCATATAAGTTAATTAAGCAGGGTGACAATATAAAGCCTTGACACACTCCTTTTCCTATTTGGAACCAGTCTGTCGTTCCATGTCCCAGTTCTAACTGTTGCTTCCTGACCTGCATACAGATTTCTCAAGAGACAAGTCAAATGGTCTGGTATTCCCATCTCTTTCAGAATTTTCCACAGTTTGTTGTGATCCACACAGTCAGAGACATTGGCACAGTCAGTAAAACAGAAGTACATGTTTTTCTGGAAATCTGTCCCCTTTTCGATGATCCAGTAGATGTTGGGAATTGGATCTCTGGTTCCTCTCCCTTTTCTAAAACCAGCTTGAACATCTAGAAGTTCATGGTTCACGTATTGCTGAAGCCCAGCTTGGAGAATTTTGCGTATTACTTTGCTAGTGTGTGAGATGAGTGCAACTGTGCAGTAGTTTGAGCATTCTTTGGCTTTGCCTTTCTCTGGGATTGGAATGAAAACTGACCTTTTCCAGTCCTGTGGCCACTACTGAGTTTTCCTAATTTGCTGGCATATTGAATGCAGCACTTTCACAGAATCATCTTTTAGGATGTGAAATATCTCAACTTGAATTCTATCACCTCCACTAGCTTTGTTTGTAGTGATGCTTCCTAAGACCCACTTGACTTCACATTCCAGGATGTCTGGCTTTAGGTGAATGATCACACCATCGTGATTATCTTGGTCGTAAAGATCTTTTTTGTAGAGCTCTTCTGTGTATACTTGCCACCTCTTCTTAATATCTTTTGCTTCTGTTAGGTCCATACCATTTCTGTCCTTTATTGAGCCCATCTTTGCATGAAATGTTCCCTTGGTATTTCTAATTTTCTTGAAGAGATCTCTAGTCTTTCCCATTCTATTGTTTTCCTCTATTTCTTTGCACTGATCACTGAGGAAAGCTTTCTTATCTCTCCTTGCTATTCTTTGGAATTCTGCATTTAAATGGGTATATCTTTCCTTTTCTCCTTTGCTTTTCACTTCTGTTCTTTTCACACTAGTGCATAATTCCTAATTAATCTATTTCGGAAGTGTTGATGGTCAGAAATTATAATGGCAAGCCATACTGAACTGTATATGTGAATGCTGAATTTTACTATGACACAGGGGGAAATTCCATGGTATTTGATAAAATGTATTAAGGATATTATGCCCCTTAAAAATGTAAGTATATAAAATTTTAAAATTTGACTCATGAATTTAATGGCAAAAGTGTAAGAAAAAGATAGAATTATGGAATAAATCAATGACCATTATGTAATTGACATCTTAACATATAATGGCACAAAAGCATCACAATTGAGCAGCACAGATGTATTAGAAATCTGCTAAGAAAACCGTCTATTCTAACACATTATAACATCCTGAAGATATCGTCATTGTCTGCTTAGAAATAATGATATCAAAAGAAAGAATGGTACCTAAAGCAACTTTTTCAAATGCCAATAGTTCTTATTTTGGTGCTTCAGCCTCAATGTCAAGTCCTACTTACTGGCAGCAAGAAGCTTTATATAGCTATTTTGCATACCTTATCGTACTCTATACTTTTAAGATTTTTAGTATTAGGGAATAAAAAACAAAACAAAAACTCCTTAACTGTAACATGTTTTTTAAAAAGTTATTTATATGGCAAATGAAGGGAAATATCAAGTTAGGAAGCAAGTCTCTGCATTCAGTAAAGTTAAACAAGTATTTATTTTACAATATCAAAGATAATCTGCTAACTGTTTCAAGTATACAACAGTAAATAAAATAGTAAGGTTTGCTAGAGAAAATATATAGCATCACTGATTTACAATTTTTGAGCAGAATTAACTTGGTACCTTTCATGGCTTCTTCGAAAGAGCAAGGTCTTGCTGGACTAGATATTTCCTTCTTTACATTCACATTCAAAGCAACAGCTGCTGTTATTAAACAAAAAAGATTAATGTATTTATTTAGACTTATCCTGAAAAATGTATATCTTAAAATTCTTTAACAGGAGTATTTTCTCATAAAGCATTATTAAATTATTTGTTCAGCAGAAATTCTAGATTCGGATGAGTTTTTATAATCTATACTCACCAGTTTACCCTCTAAAATGCACCAGTCTCCAAGTGGGCAGAAGCATATGCTTATTATTAAAACAAAATAAAAATAACAGCAACTTTAAAAAATCTTTCTTGTAACAGTACAAATGAATAGAAGATTGACATGAGATCGTTAAAAACGTATCAATACCAAATATACTGTAACACTAGCATGAAAAAAATTCACCATTCACCTACGTAAATTATTTTAAAAAATGCTGATTCAGAAACATAATTGAGATAATTTTTTAAAAAAACTGCTGAATATACAAAATATATAGTATCATTACTTTTTAATAAAGCCTTAGAAATAATAATCTTTCCTATTATTAATGAAGAATTGCTACATTATTATATCTACACATATCAAGTACACCTACTATGAAAATTTTAAATTTAATGAGCATAAGAGTAGAGATCAGTTCTGAATGGTAAAGTTAAATTCCAAATAAAAAGGTTTTCTTAAAATGACTGTATAATAATATTTAAATAGATGCTAATTTTTATTTTTCAATGTATTTATATTCCCTAACTTATTCCAAATAAGATCTGAGTCAATTTATTATCAACTTATTCTTGACATCATAATGCAAAATGATGGTTACAGAGAATATAAAGATAATTAACTGTGAATAAAGAGACAAAATGTACATGTCTCCTAAGAATGAGGTTAAAAAATTTATCTAAGCATGCTGTATGTAAGGGCCAACAAATGATAATCTGAACGAACTGTTAATTGAATGAAATTATCAAACTGAATAGAATTGACTGGAAAATAAATTCTTAGGCAATTTTAAAGCATAACATTTATTCTAACAATTACAGAATGGAAACTAATCTTCGAAAAATTTTTAAATTTCTACTTTTAACACAAGTTTTAGTCATTTGTTTTTAAAGCAACAAAAAAATATGAATAAGTATTTCATCCTCCATTTCTTATAGCAATTACCACTGCAGAGTCACTGCAAAAAACAACTAATATGATTTCTGTGTCTTAAAAGAGGGAAGTAAAACAAGTCAATGGTCAAGCATGGTTCAGTGACTAGCAATGAAACAAAGGTTTTTTAAGTCTTCAAAGTAACAATCTAAAAGAATATACATGTGATGTGTTTTTGGCAGTACAGGCTCAGAAGGCTTTAGAGGGGCTTGTGTCTGGCAAAGCATGCAGAGCCAGTTTATGTTCACTTGAGCCCCTGTTCCAATCCTACTTTTAGACTATGTACCAAGTATATAAGATACCAAAATTTTCTGCACAACTACTCTATAGACTATGTGTGCCATCTTAAGCCTATAGGGTGAACAGAGCTTAGGGGCATCAGCTGGTGCATCAAGGCCCTCCAGGTGAAGGATGGCGCCAGGAGAGGGAAGTGGGTCTTGTTTTAGCTGTTATAATTACTATGTGCTAAGTCTCATCAGTCGTGTCCAACTCTGTGTGACCCCATGGACTGTAGCCCACCAGGCTCCTCTGTCCATGGAATTCTCCGGGCGAGAATCCTGGAGTGGATTGCCATTCTCTTCTCCAGGGTATCTTCCTGACCCAGGGATTGAACCCGCCATCTCTCACATCTCTTGCATTGGCAGGCAGGTTCTTTACCACTAGAGCCATCTGGGAAGCCCTATAATTATAATCACTATACGCCACTGAATATGCAAATCTTTAACCACAGTCCCCAGCTGAGTCAAAACAGCAACTAGTTTATCATAATGAGACAGTGCGAATTATCATAACCAAGTTTTCCTGAAATATTCTCTCATGTGCACACCTAAAAAGACATTCACAGTTTATAAAACAAAAAAAGTGAAATTATGGGAAGATTCTTTAATTAGCTATATCATAAAGGCAGAAACTGAAGCATTAGATCTCACTATAAAATTTGCACAAAATATATATTCAAATAAGAGTTTCTGAGAGCGACTGCTATCTAGTACATATAAAATACAAGGGGGAAAAACATAAAAGGATAAACATTATGTCAGTGATGGTCTAAATGTGGCCAAATATAGCCAATTAGTGTAGGCTTTATATTTGGCAATTTATCAAAGAAAAATTTTTAATAATGAGCATTCATCACTAAGAAATGAAGATTCATAGTGCTGATGCTAAGCACTTTTCAAAGTCCTGAAGTTCTTTATTACTGATCAATAAAAAGAAACAAAGACAACAAAATCTCAGTAAGTATTTTAAGGATGGTAAAACTTTAAAAGCTATTCACCCTCCCCCCCAACACACTTCCTTCTCCCCTTCCCATACGAATGTATTAACTACTGTATGCCATTTTTCTCCCTCTATGAGCAAGCTTCTCTTCACGTAAAATACTAAATATTCTAGCAATTACTAAAATGCTTTAACTACCATTAGTTTTAAATCAAATTTTCTTGGATTTTTGAGACTTTCATAGAAAGAAAACAATCAACTGTTTGATTTTTAAGTATAAACCAGTATCCTCTTTCCTAGTTTTGTTGAAGCCAGTATATTATTTCTAAACTTTGTCTTTTTCTGTCTAAAATCTCTACAGGTGATCTTTTATTCTGAGACAAACACTAAAAGAATTTCATAAGGGCTATATTATGGCACACTTTTGTAACAAACTGGTGGGAAATAACCAACGTTGTGAAAGTTGGACATGATTTACAAAAGAAAAAGGGAACAGATTAACATTAAGTGATAGAGAATAATTATCAAGACTAATTATAACTCTGTCCTAGCTACTGTGTTCATCACTTCTGTTACCAGGGCTTTCTTTCCTTCCTACCATTTTACACTTTGCACTTCACTGATTTCTGAATAATTTGGGAAAAATGTTATCAGTAAACTTGGAGATACGGAAGAACTTCTAATTCTGGAGCAAGACTGAGATACGAACGGAGTAAATAAATGGCAGTGTGGCAGCAACCAAGTCTAGGTCAACAAAACATGTGAAGTGTTTCCATTTCCAAAATGTTTTCTCTACTTTTCCAGGAAAAGGCTTCTCCAGGCAACTAAATGGATGTAGGTAAAAATCTCATAAGATACTTCTTACCCAGAGATATAAAATTTTAAACAACTGCTCTAGTTTCTAAAGCACCTGTTTTACCTAAATGCTTAAAATTATTTTTAAAATACTTATTCACCAGAAGTCTGATATTTTTGACTACATAAATTAGAAAATGATACAGGCATATGACTCTATTTGTGATATTATCACTTATCTCTCTGAGATTATCTCTCACCTCTCCCAAAATGCATCCTGTAAGACAGCCAGACTGAAAACTACTAGCAGTTTTCCTAAAGTAGTACATAAGAGGTATTCAATAAATGGTAATTCTTACCTTATCATACAAGGAGTACTTGTATGATAACTCTGTAAGGCAGAAACGGTTCTCTTAACTAAGAGTAAAAGCAGAGTTTGGTGGCCATCTTATTGGGAAATAATGCCATCTCTAAAAAATACTGGTATCAATTTACCTTTGCACACTACTTCCTCTTTTAAGTTGGCTGGTCTTCATATTCTTCTGAAGAAGCAGAAATGGATTACTCCTTTTGATTCAGAACTTTTAATATTTTGACATACCTGGGTCTGGAGTGTAAGTGAATGGCTGAACATCATGAGATCTTCCAGCATTGGTTACTACATATATTCCCACTGCTACTGGCAAAGTTATATGTTGATCATGATATGGGGGAACCTTCACAATAAGATGATTCTAATTGAAAGAAAATTATAAGAGGCAGAAATAAAGCAATATATAAATTAAAAATTTGAAATAAAATATTATAATTAAGTACTTTCCTGTTAGCTGTAAAGTTTAAAAAGTTTGACTAGGTGGAAAAAAGTATTATTTAAAAGTTCGGGTCCATGGGCATCAAGACATTAATCTTAAAGTTGCTTTTAAGGTAAAGTACCAATGTTTTGCAATGGCATAAAAGGTCCCTGGTCCTGTCAACTTTATCTCATTCCCATTCTCCTCTAGCTTGTTACACTCCAGGTACACTGACCTTCTTACACTAACACACTAAATTCATTTTTACCTCAGAGCCTTTACAACTTGCTATTCTCTTTCACTGGAATACTCTTCTCCTTTATCTCTTTAAATATCCAGTTCGTTACCCATTTCCAGATCTCATTCAAATGTCATCTCCTCAGAGAAGCCTTCTCTGACCATCCTCTTTTGGCAGCCCTCTCCAATCTGATCACAGAATCCTGTTTATTTCTTATCACCACCTGAAATTACTGTGATTATCTGCTTATTTTTTGTCCCCTCTACAACCACAAGAATCCAAATTCCAAGAGAAGCTAGGATGTTCTGTTCATCCTATCTCCACTGTTAAGCACCTCACACAGAATATACTCAAATAGATTTGTTGAAAAAAAGAATGAATATATTTCCAAGAAAAAAAATTGCCCACCAAGCAATATCAGTTACTATATGTTTTGTAAACCTTAACAGTGAGATGTACTTTGCAGTGCAGTTCACTGTTTTCTAACCACTAACAACTAATTCTCATTTAGTCTATTTAAATTTAAAATGTTTCAATTTGTATTTAAAACTAGTAACTAATTCTCATTTAAAGTCAACAGAGTTCAGTTTACCCAAAACCCAGTAAATCACCGTCATTTTTGTGTGTGTGAAAATAGTGGTAGAAGCATCCTTTTAAGAGAAAAAGGAAGAGTTCCATAAATGCTTCAGCAGCACTTATTCAAGGGGACTACATCTTAGAAGATATCATGAACTGCATATGACTTATTCTCTTCTTCCCTGCTATGTTACACTATTGGAAAAGAACAGCAAAAGGTAGTGACTGTGCTTTTGTACTACTCGATATGCAGGAGGCCAATGGTGACAGCTGAGGATGAAATGAGTTTAATGTCATTTTTTACTTAGTCAGACTCTGGAAGCTGGCTGACTCAGTTGAACAGAACATGACAAATGAGGCCAAGATTTCAATTTTTGAGTACTTAATTTGTTTCTAAGCCATCTTAAAAGATGCTCCGAAATAGTCATATTGTAAATTTTAAAATAGCTTCTTATTTATGGTAATAGTAGAATGCTTTCTGAGTCCAGTTAGCTATCTCAAAAAAATCACACTTCTAATTCAGGTGGAAAAACATATAAATGTATACATCCACAGGAATTAGGGGGCAAAAATCTGAAAGCACATACTTAATTGTATATGAAGTCATCAAAAAATGTATCTGCATTGACTCAAATTCTTAGAATAAGAGTTTTAAAATCTTGCCCACCTTCATTTTTCCTCCTTTGTTTAAAAACTGCAACTACATCACAAAGCAGTTCTACCTACATTTAAGGAGATGGCTGAATGGATGGACTTCGAAGTATCTTCCCAGTCTTAAGATTATTTGACCAACTCAATAACTGAAATTATTTTTCCAAATAAAAATTTGTTCTTGGTAATTAGTAACAGAATTAGTATCTAAAAGTCAGAAGAATATATATACACACACATATATTTATTTATTTACATGTATATTTATTTTTATATATATATATGTATTTTAATCTTTTACTCCACTTGTTTTAGAGTGTAGTTAAACAAACCTAATTTGAAACTTCTTAAAAATCAAATGAACAAATTATTCACATGTCCTCAATCTGAAATCAAGAAATTCTACAAATGATTTGAATTAAAAACTAAGTAAACTGTGAGTACTGACAGTAAATTAAAAAAAAAAAACCTAATCTCAAAAATTAAGAGCAATTAACTACCACTGAACTAGGAGTACAATACACGCAAAACATACAAAGGGCTGGGAGACCTGTGGAGCAGGTAGAGTGTTTTCTGAGGTAAAAAGGGAAGAATATCTAAATTTTAATTTCTTAGAAAAATCTGGTTGGATTCAAAATAATGATCTTCTTTATCCCAGCAGATAATCTTTTTTCAGGGTTTATAAGCAATGGTGCTAGATATTTTTCACGTTCCTAAGGAATAATTTATCATTATCAAAACTGTCATTTTGCAGTTGGGGGTATATACATAAAAATAATGTATGGAGACACAAAACAAATTACTAATAAGACCAATTTGAAAACATGTAACCTCGAAACTCTCAAGTCTTTGTTTAGCCTGGTTGTTTCCCAAAATTCTGAGGATCTTCTGGGCATTTCTTCCGAGAATTTTCTTTACATAGTTCTACTAAAAATTCCATCTTCTTCAAAGCTCCATCTTATTGTTTTTTTTTTATTCTTACTCTCTAAAAAATACAATGTAAAGAACCCAGAAGACTAGAAGTTTATGAATTATAATCCATACATTTTTCTATTTTTAATAGGCTCATGTCTATTTCATGTTCTGTAAAACAAGTTATACTTATATCAAATTACAGACCTCTGATACAAATGAACTTATTCACAAAATATAAACAGATTCACAGACTTTGAAAATAAACTTATGCTTACCAAAGGGGAAAGGTGGGAGGGAGGGATAAATTAGAAGTTTGGGAACTTACATATAGGCATTACTATATATAAAACAGATAATCAATAAGAACCTACTGTACATCACAGGGAACTCTACTCAATACTCTATAATAACATGCTGCTGCTGCTAAGTCACTTCAGTCGTGTCCAACTCTGTGCGACCCCAAAGACGGCAGCCCACCAGGCTCCCCCATCCCTGGGATTCTTCAGGCAAGAACACTGGAGTGGGCTGCCATTTCCTTCTCCAATGCATGAAAGTGAAAAGTGAAAGTGAAGTCGCTCAGTCATGTCCGACTCTCAGCAACCCCATGGACTGTAGCCTATCAGGCTCCTCCGTCCATGGGATTTTCCAGGCAAGAGCACTGGAGTGGGGTGCCATTGTCTTCTCCCTATAATAACATATACCCATATAATTACCTATATGGGAAAAGAATCTGAAAAAAGAATGAATATATGTATAACTAAATCACTTTGCTGTACACTGGAAACTAACATAACATTGTAAATCAACTATACTTCAATATAAAGTAAATAATTAAATGAAAAAAACAAAAGAAGCTAAAAAAAAAGATAGAGCTCTCCGAGGCTCTAAAATACTTGCTTCTAATTTCCTTTTAAAATCACCTTCATACTCAAGCTGCTAAACTCTTCTTTCTTTTAAAACCAATTTATCTTCAAAAACAAATATATATATATATATATATATATATATATATGTAGAGAGAGATCTGTCTTTAAGATATGTATCTTATATATACATTGAATAGGCAATTAAGGCCCTACAGAATTCATCTAAAGTTGTTAAAATGGGAGTAGATATAATAACCATGTGCCTATTGCTTTTGGTATACATGAGTATGAGATATATTATGGCACTGACTGAAAGAGCCAAATATTTTTTTTTTTAGAAGAGCCAAATATTAACAAAGAATTATTTTCCCAGACTTTGTTAGCCTCAATTTTCAAGTAATAAAAAAGTTTAATACCTGATGAGTTGACTTTGGAGTTTCAAATGAATAGCTATCACAATTATATTTGCAATTTGCAAAGCCATCATTAAGTGGTCTTTTCTACTGTACCATCCTCTAGTTATTTTTTATTATTATAGAGGGCCTTTTAACTTTTCATTATAGGCCTGTTATTTTTTTATTGACCACACTCAAAGTCTCTTTACTTTTAATGTATTTTCTGATCATACTTTTTCTAAGTGTTTAATTTTTGTGTTTTTTTCTTTAATATAAGTATAATCTTTAGGATTTATTTTGTATATCTCAGCTCTGATTCCACTCTAACATACTTCCCAGAAAGCCCTTTAGAAAGAAAGAAAAAAAGAAAGTTTTCTCTGAAAAAGATCAAAAAATTTTTAATAAATAGCAGAATCACAGAATTAATGAAAGATCATATTATGATTTAGCCTGTTTACATACTTGCTTACAAAAACCCCAGGGTCTCTATATATAGCCACCAAATGAGGATATAATTCCTTTCCATTCCACCAAATTTTTATGATTATTCTGCATTAATCCACCGTATAACTTGTTTTACAGAACATGAAATAGACATTAGCCTATTAAAAACAGAAAATTCCATCTTCTTCAAAGCTCCACCTTATTTTTTTTTATTGTCTAAAAAATATAATATAAAGAACCCAGAAGACTAGAAGTTGAGAAATTATAATCTGATTTGTGTTCTTTTCTATAATAAAACTGAAATTGTTACGTACAGTGCTTTCCTGAGTTCTGTGAGTTCTACTATCAAATCTTTGGCGGAAGTGGAAACCCTTGAATTTGAAGCCAACTGTTCACAAGTAAGACCTGTTCAGGGGATCCCTGAACTTGCAGCTGGTGTCTGAAGTGAGGGCACTCTTAGGCAGCACTGTACGTTTAGTTTTGAGTTTGGCAATATATTGGATATAATATATTGGATATATAATGTTAAATTTCTTTATTTTTTTCAGAACACAAAGGGAATTTTAAAAAATTTTAAACCAAAAATGAATATACACCAAGGTCCTACAAATACAGACTCTAAGTGTAACAAGTAGTGCTTCTGAGTGCAAAAGGTAATGAACAAATATAAAACACCTGGCACATAGCAGGTACTCAATAAATACGTTTCTCTTATTAAAAAGTAGGTGAAGATAATCCAAAGATAATCCAAAGTAGGTAAAGATAGCAAATAAAAATTATGAAAGATATTTCATTTATTAATAATGGTGATTTTCTCATGCTCTTAACTTTTCAAATACAGAACTGTCATTTCCAGCATCAGTGGAATAAATCTATTTCAGTTAAACTCAAGAAACTTTAAATGATTTACATCAATTCCATATAAATAAGAAATTTAATCTGTTGATCTAGGAAAATCTTGGAGCAAAACTCAGTTTCTCAGAGAATAAACAATCAAACTATAAAAAGTTTAAATTATACCTGATGAAATAATTCCATATCGATTTCAGCTTCTGACTTCCAAGAGTTTTCATCTGATTGAAATAAAAAATATTGACTTACTAAAATTATGAAACATTTTTTACTTTGTTGCTACAACTGTATCTTTGTAACCAAGTGAAACATCTAACAATTTCTAAGGCAGTGTTATGCCTACTTACCAGAAACATTTTCTTGGAAAATAACTTTAGTTCCTTTCAGAAAGTTCTTGCCAATTAAAAATACTTCTTCCTCTCCTTTCACTGAACAGCTATGCAAGCTCTTCTTTAAGATTTCTGGCACTCCTGCCGGTTGAGCTGTAGGTATATATAAGCATCCCATAAGAAGAACCACCAACACATTTCTTATCTAAAATCAACTCTCAATTATTCAGTTCTATAAGTTGTCTTTGTTGACCCCTGAATTTGCCTTCTTTTATTCTACAATGCAGGAGACTCCAGTTCGATTCCTGGGTTGGGAAGATCCGCTGGAGAAGGGATAGCCTACCCACTCTAGTATTCTTGGGCCTTCCTGGTGGGTCAGAGGGTATAAGAAAACATCTGCAATGTGGGAGACCTGGGTTCAATTCCTGGGTAAAGATCCCCTGGAAAAGGAACGGCTACCCACTCCGATATTCTGGCCTGGAGAATTCCATGGACAGAGGAGCCTGGCAGGCTACACAGTTCTTGGGGTTGCAAAGAGTTGGACACCACTGAGCAACTTTCACTTTCATTCTGCAAATCAAAATTTACCATAACAGAAAGCAAAGTTACATGTCATCTTTGTTTTCTCATTACATGGGAAAAAAAAGGGGGTGTAAAAATGAACTTGGTCATGTTTTTGTCTTAACGTTAAAAAAAAAAATCAATTTAATAACAAATATCTCACAATCCTAACTAACCATAAAAATGTTATCTGTGCTACACCTTCACAAGACTTCTGAGGCAAAGTGAGCCTCTGGGCGGTATTAAGAGTATCTTTAAGGATCCAAATCTAGAATTTAGAGACTCTAAATGAAAAGAAACCTGAAAACAGACTGAATCCATTTCAGAATAATTCTTTCTACCAGAGGATCTCCCTGAATTAGGATACCTTGAGAATAAAAATAAAACACACTCATTTTTCAATTATAAAGACTAACTAACCACTAGTAAATTAACAAAGAGGTAGAGAAGTACTGAGGAGGAGCCGGATCTAATAAACTATAATTGGCTTACTAATCTTCCTGATTTTCTTAAGAAAATTTAATATGTACCGTTTAGTAAAATAGATTCCAAAATTTCCCCAAACATTTCACATTCTGATGTACACTATAAATATCCAAGAAATGGGTGTAGTACAGTTTTCTCAATATATCTGACCCCAGAAACATTCTTCCATATTGACACCTAAGGACTAGGTTTCCACCAGAATATTCCCTGGAATACTGGTTAATGCAAATACATACCTTTTAGGTACTCAGAAAACTGGTCCCTTAAGATTAAGCACTTTGAAAGAGATTACACCGTTTGCTGTTTTAGTAAATCCTAATAATATATATACTGAAAAAGTAATTTTAACATGGCTGTATAACTCATCAAATTCTAAATTTGAGATAGTCTAATACATGTTGAATGTTACAAATCTCTGTCCACAGTTCTTCAGGCATTCTGTCTACCAGATCTAATCCCTTGAATCTATTCGTCACCTCCACTGTATAATCATAAGGGATTTGATTTAGGTCATACCTGAATGGCCTAGTGGTTTTCCCTACTTTTTTCAATTTAAGCCTGAATTTTACAATAAGGAGCTCATGATCTGAGCCACAGTCAGCCCAAGGCAGGTCTTGTTTTTGCTCACTGTATAGAGCTTCTCCATCTTTGGCTGTAAGAATATAATCAAGGTGATTTCGGTTTTGATCATCTGGTGATGTCCACGTGTAGAGTCATCTCTTGAGTTGCAGAAGAGGGTGTTTGCTATGACAAAACTCTGTTAGCCTTTGCCCTGCTTCATTTTGTACTCCAAGGCCAAACCTGCCTGTTAGTCCGGGTATCTCGTGACTTCCTACTTTTGCATTACAATCCCCTATGATGAAAAGGAAATCTTTTTTAGGTGTTAGTTCTAGAAGTCTTGTAGGTCTACATAGAACTCGTCCACTCCAGCTTCTTTGGCATCAGTGGCTGGGGCACAGATTTGGATTACTGTGATGTTGAATGGTTTGCCTTGGAAACAAACTGAGATCATTCTTGTTTCTGAGATTGTACCCAAGTACTGTATTTTGGACTCTCTTGTTGATTATGAGGGCTATTCCACTTCTTGTAAGGGATTCTCGCCCACAATAATCGACATAATGGTCACCTGAATTAAATTCGCCCATTCCCATCAATTTTAGTTCACTGATTCTTAAAACACCAATGTTCACTCTTGCCATCTCCTGCTTGACCATATCCAATTTACCTTGATTCATGAACCTAACATTCCAGGTTCTTTTACAGAATCGGATTTTACTTTCACCACCAGACACATCTACAACTCAGCAATGTTACTGCTTTGGCCCAGCCTCTTCATTCTTTCTGGAGCTATTTTTCTTCTATTCCCCAGCAGCATGTCAGACAGCTACTGACCTGGGGGACTCATCTTCTGGTGTCATATCATCTTGCCTTTTCATACTGTTCATGAGGTTCTTGAGCAAGAATACTGGAGGGGTTTGCCATTTCCTTCTCCAGTGGACCACATTTTGTCAGAACTCTCCACCATGACCCATCCATCTTGAGTGGCCCTCCACAGCATAGCTCATAGCTTCATTGAGTTACACAAAGCTCTGATTCATGTGATCATTTTGGTTACCTTTCTGGGATTGTGGTTTTCATTCTGGAGGTTGTGGGACTGTAGTTCTTGCTTCTTCTGTTTGCCCTTTGATGGATGAGGCTAAGAGGCCAGTGTAAGCTTCCTGATGGGAGAGACTGGCTGTGGGGAAAGCTGGGTCTTACTTTGGTGGGCAGGGCCATGCTCAGTAAATCAAATCCCTTATGATTATACAGTAGAGGTGACAAATAGAGTCAAGGGATTAGGTCTGATAGACAGAGTGCCTGAAGAACTATGTATGGAGTTTTCTAACACTATAGAAAGCAGTGACTAAAACCATCTCAAAGAAAAAGAAATGCTAGAAGGCAAAGTGGTTGTCTGAGGAGGCCTTACAAGCTGAGAAAGAAAGAGAAGTTAAAGGTGAAAGGGAAAGATATAATCAACTAAATGCAAAGCTCCAGAGAATAGTGAGGAGAGATGAGAAAGCCTTCTTAAGTGAACAATGCAAAGAAATAGAGGAAAAACAACAGAATGTGAAAGACTAAAGACCTCTTCAAAAAAACTGGAGATACCAAGGGAACATTTCATGCAAAGATGGGCACAAAAAAGAACAGAAATGGCAAGGACCTAACAAAAGCAGAAGAGTTTAAGAAGAAGCGGCAAAAATACACCAAAGAGCTATACAAAAAAGGTCTTAATGATCCAGATAACCATGATGGTGTGGACACTCACCTAGAGCAGGACATTCTGCAGTGTGAAGTCAAGTCACCATTAGGAAGCATTACTATGAACAAAGCTAGTGGAGGTGATAGAATTCCAGCTGAGCTATTTAAAATTCTAAAAGATGATGCTGTTAAAGTGCTGTACTCAATATGTCAGCATATTTGGAACACTCAGCAGTGGTCACAGTACTGGAAAAGGTCAGTTTTCATCCAATCTCAAATAAAGGCAATGCCAAAGATAAAGTTCAAACTACTGTACAATTTCACAGGCTAGCAATACTCAAAATCCTTCAAGCTAGGCTTCAGTAGTATGTGAACTGAGAACTTCCAGATACACAAACTGGATTTAAAAAAGGCAGAAGAAGCAGAGATCAAATTGCCAACATCTGTTGGATAATCAAAAAAGCAAGAGAGTTCCAGAAAAACATCTACTTCTGCTTCACTGACTATATACTAAAGCCTTTGACTGTGTGGATTACAACTGTGGGAAGTTCTTAAAGAGATGGGAGTACCAGACTACTTTACTTTACCACCTTCTGAGAAACGTGCATGTGTGTTAAGAAGCAACAGTTAGAACCAGACATGGAACAATGGACTGGTTCAAAATTGGGAAAGGAGTACGACAAGGCTGTATGTTGTCACCCTGCTTATTTAACTTCTATGCAGAGTACATCATGCGAAATGCCAGGCTGGATGAATCACAAGCTGGAATCAAGAATGCCAGGAGAATTAAACAACAACTTCAGGTTTGCAGATGATTCTATTTTAATGGAAGAAAACAAGAGGAACTAAAGAGACTCTTGATGAGGGTAAAAGAAGAGAGTGAAAAAGCTGGCTTAAAACACAACATTCAAAAAACTAAGATCATAGCATCTGGTCCCACTGCTTCATGGCAAATAGAGGAGGAAAAGTGGAAACAGTGACAGATTGTATTTTCTTGGGCTCCAAAATCACTATGGACAGAGACTGAAGCCACAAAATTAAGACACTTGCTCCTTGGAAGAAAAGCTATGACAAACCTAGACAGCATATTAAAAAGAAGGGATATCACTTTGCCAGCAAAGATCTGTATAGTCAAAGCTATAGTTTTTCCAGTAGTCATGTACGGATTTAAGAGTTGGACCATAAAGAAGAATGAGCACCAAAGAATGAATGCTTTTGAAATGTTTTGCTGGAGAAGACTCCTGAGAGTTCCCTGGACAGCAAGCAGAGTGAATCAGTCAACCCTAAAGGAAATTAACCCTGAATACTCATTGGACAGCCTGAGGCTGAAGCTGAAGCTCCAATACTTTGGCCACCTGATGCAAAGAGCCGAGTCATTAGAAAAGACACTGATGCTGGGAAAGACTGAGGGAAGGAGGAGAAGGGGGCAAAAGAGGATGAGATGATTGGATGGCACCACTGACTAAATGGATAAGAGTTTGAGCAAACTTTGGGAGAAAGTTAAGGACAGAGAAGCCTGGCATGCTTCAGTCCATGGGATCACAAAAAGTCGGAAACAACTTAGCAACTGAACAACAATAACTAAACTTTAACCAAAGTTTTAAAGTTTTTTTCTCCTTAGGCACTTATATATTTGATAATCAATTTTATCTTTACAAGAAAGTAATGTGGCAAATTATTGTTGTCAAAGTATTATTGCCCCGTTTTCCCTAGGCCTGCCCTTTCTGTCAGAAGACTCTTGCTCCACACAAGGTCATTCCTGCCCCATTCATGTAAGGATTAGCCACGTGACTTGTTTAAATAATGAAATGTGAACTGAAGTCATGTGCCACTTCCAGGCTTTACCATATCCATGTGGTTCCACCATCTTTTTTTTCCTCCACTAAAAAATAGCAATATCCCAGAAAAAGGCAGCTTCTAAAGCCTGGTTCCCACAGTGAAGAAAATGGAGCTGCTCCTCAATTGCAGCCAATATTATCATAAAATGAGGGAGAAGTAAAACTGTGTTGTATAACCACTTAGATTTTTTTGGTTGTTTATTACTGTAGCATCATTTAGTTTCACTTATTGATACAAACAAGTATCTTATCCTAATTAAATGCCAAATAATATTTTCAGCAATGCCTAAGAGTTTCAAAAAATTGTGATTGTATATACATATATACTGTCTAGAACCATAGAGTTAATGTATGAACAGATGGAAACAGTTATCAGTCATACACTGGTAATCATACACCCTTTTAAAACAAAGAACCAACTGAACTAATTTATAACTTTTGGGAGTAACACTGGAACTAGATACTCGTTTTTAAATGACATTCAAGAAGAATATGATAAATATTATTTTGATTAGAAAACAGTAAGAGGTACAAAATTATATGAATGTATTATAGTAACAAAATGAATGGAAAGTCTATAATATCACCCCCACCCACTTATAAAATACTATATGGAAACTCCACTTTGTTCATGATTATCAAAACTTTTCCCTATTTCCTTTTTCCTTTTTATGCATTAAAAGGCATAAGACAGCCAAATGAGGCCCCTCTGAAGGTACAATGTATATTTATCTTTTATATATTTATATTTACGTTACACAAAGAACTAGTCTGTTCAAGATAATTTAACTTTTGACCTTAAAAGGTCTTATCTGTTAAAAAGTTTGGTGGTTACCTAACAGGACATACTCTATACCAAATAGAACTGAAGTCAGGATTATTAAAGCATTAGCTGTTTTATTTTTACCATTAATTAGTAAGCTGCCCCTTGAAAGGGATCACATTGCTTTAAAAATTTATAACAGAAAAAAGCAGCTACTTTTCTGCTATTATAAAATACAATGTGCTTTTAGATGCTGTTCAAATAGGAGCCTCAAAAATAAAGCTGAAGAAAATGAACATCTGAATACTGAAAAATAACAAAGCAAATATTTCAACCTGTCAAAAGAATTAGAAAGCCTTTTTAATGTCTGTGAATAGAACAAAAGTTAACTGAATGGTATTACTCGTTACCTAAAGCTGTGGAAGAGCCATAAGTAAAGGAAGAACTTGTTAATTTCAGTAAGACTTAATACAGTAAGTATTAGTAAGATAAAGCCTAATATACATTATGTTGAAGAAAGCTATGATTAATTTTGCCACATTAATTTAGGGCAGATACTAAAAAAGTATGAAAATTGATATTTTTACTTTGATCTAGTATATATATATTTTCTGGAGAAATCTAAAGGTGTGAAAGGAGAGGATTCTTCTATCCCCTTAAAAATAAACGAACTAAAAGAAAATGGATCCAATAGCCACTGTTAAACCAACAAGAAGAAGCAGGATTGTTTTTCTAAGGTCACAAGGCACAGCATGAATTCTGGCATTAGGCCTTCTTTCCACTGAGTGCCTCTAGAGGGAAGATCAAGTATCTGTTTCCTCTCCTCCCTTCCACCTGTAGCACCTTTTGGCCCCTCTTCCTTTCTGCTTACCTCTCATCTTCCTGTTTCCTTCTACCTCCCACTCCAATTCTAACAAATTATTATAGCAAAGGTACCTCTTTCTTTAAAAGAAAGTATTGCTCAAGTTTATCTAATTCAATTTCACCAAGCAGATGGCAATATAAATGCCAAGCAGTCAACTAAAGGAGTAAAAATATATATCCTACACCTCCATAATAAATGACATTTACAAAAGGAAATGGAAAAGATAATATAGGTATTCAAGCAAAATCCCCTAATATAAATTGAGATCTACTTTCTAAATTCATAAAAAATCTAAGTTACATAACACAAATATCATAGGTAGAGGAAATAGTTTGTCTAACATAATTTCATACTGTAACTATAGTCCTAACCATCTGGACGCTATAGCTGGGATAAAATGAGTCGTTCAAATTTTGTTTTTAGCACTGCTAAATTTTAAGTGACTGTGGTGGCAACACAGCACAATGGCTAAAAAGGAGGCTTTTAATCCTGTCTTACTATTTACTAGCTACGTGACCTTGAGGAAGTTATTTAAGTCTCAGTTTCAACAACTGTAGAACAGAAACAACAAACGGCAATGGTGAGGGTAAATGACATAATGCTTATAAAATTGTTAATAAAATCTCTGGCATACTGTGAAGAGTTCAAAATATGGCAATTTTTATTATTAGCTCTACATGCCGCTGCTTCTTAGGACTATCAAATTCACCCAGACACAGCTTCTAAGGGAGATAACACTTTTTGCAATGTGAACATATTAATATGTTACCATTAATGGTGATGATTAACAAATGAAAATTATAACTATAGATGAAAAATTTATGAAAATCATGTTTTCTGTTTCTATTTTCTATCTTTGGCTGGATACATTTATACTTATATTTTAACAATACTTCAATTAAATAGGAAATAAAGAAATGAACTACTGAAAGAAGAAATAAACAATTATTAATAAAATAAAACTGAGGGGGGTTCAGGACAGGGGGAACACATATACACCCATGGCTGATTCATGTTGATGTATGGCAAAAACCACCATAGTGTTTATTGTAAAGTAATTAGCCTCCAATTAAAATAAATAAATGAATTAAAAAATAAAATAAGATAAAGTTGACAACCATCCCCCAGTTCCTGCTAAGGCAGTATGATCTGAATTATCTAGCATCTCCTGGATCTGGTCTTCAGAGAGTGGCTATGGTCATGCTCAAAGTATTAGATCACATAAAAGAAGAACTGCATGTACCCAACTAAAATTGAATTTCCACCCTTATAATATTCAAGTTGAGACATATTGTGATTTATAGTAAACTAGCACCCAAATTAGAAAAACTTTAGAATTCAATAAACCATCTACAGATTACTTATTCTGTCTCTATCTAAACACAACAGAATGGACGTGGAATCTACACAAACTTTAAAAGGAGTATATTTATAAGTGAACATTATCCAGAAATAGTCCAAGGAAACACTTAATACCATAACAAATTTTTCATAATAATGAAAAATAGAAGTCTACTGAGTTCTCTTGAGATCACAAATATATTTACTACTACCCTTTTAAAACAAGGGTGTTTGCCAAGCTAACGTATAGGTATTCACATCTGAAATGAATTAAAAGGAAGGGAAAAATAAGATTTACTAAGGGTGAATAAGTTGACAAAACTAAGCTACAATTAAATAAAAAAAGGCTTTGTAAGTGTATGGGGGTACCAAGGTCACAATACCCATAACCCATCCAATAGGAAATTCAAGTGAATGAAACTCAGTTTCTTCTGCTCTTTTGAATTCAGAAGCAAGGCCAAAGAAAATAATAATTAATGAAAATCTTCTTAAGGGATGTACAAAGGAAAAAATTTTCCTATGTATTACTTGTACTAATACTCATTACAGAGAAACCAGACTATATAGTAAGGCACATTGATAACACGACTGAATTTAAATACACACATATACACATCATTTATTTTCTATGCCAAGGTCAGCAAAGCAAGAATTTAATTTCCCATTATACTACAGCACTTTAATTTGTAATCTGAACTCTCACTGCTATTTATTTACAAAGTTCTGCTTACCTTTTTGTTTCCTTACGTTCTAACACAAAACACTTAGGATCACAGCAATTTACCACAAAATGAAGATGCTGTGAAAATCCTTCGGATTTGTAATTTACTTAGGCAAACTATTCAAATTACTTTTTAAATCAGTATAAGATTAACAGGAAACCACAAAATGCTATATAACTTCTGAGTCTTATTAGAAATTACCCACCTTTAGTTTAGTCTAGAAAACCTGACCAAAGCTTTTAAAATGTTGCAAAGTTTGCATGACTATAAATAAGCTTAAGCATGTAATACAACTGAAATTTAGAGATATCTGAATGCTAAACAGAAAATGGAAAAAAAAAACACCTCTATATATTTAATATCTTCATATTTTCTTACTTACTACATAAAATTGGAGAAGAGGGTGTTTGCAGTGTCAAAGTGGAGCCATCTTTCCTTGTGATATTAACTCGAAAAACCAATCTGGCACGAGTGCTCTTTTTCTTGGAACCAGCAATTCCTATCCTGGCTTCAACATCAGCATTCCTCAATTTCAATATCCCTACGCAGTCAACCCTGATACAGAAAAAATATATTAATTGATATATAAATAGTAATATATTCTTAAACATTTTCTTTTTAAGAATAATTTGCTTATTTATTTACTTTTGAATATGTAATATATGGTTCCAAATTTTAAAAAATAGAGAAGTGCAAATTCTAAACATTCATAACTTCTCTGGTCAACTTTTTATTTATAATAATAATGGAAAAATAGTATAGAAATCACTATTTCAAAATCTGAACATAAGTTATGGTTTACAAGAGATACTTTTGCTTTAAAAAATTAAATTTATCCTCTTCCTTTTTGTACCTAATTCAGATACTAAAATAAGGGACAAATTTTACTTGGAAAAAAACTAGCAACTGTCTCCCTCCAAAATGGAACACTGTACAGCCACTAAGATGCATGCTTTAAATAATATGTGATGTTTATATGGGAAAATGCTCACAGTAAGTGAAGAGTAGGTTACAGAGCAGTGAGTACAGTATCATCTCATTTTATCAGAAAAAAGGATGGAAAAATAAATGTCAAAATAGTAATAAGTTCTATTAAGTTGGAAGTTGGCGTTTGAGGAGTATGTTTTTAGCTTTCTATTACTACTAATTTTTAGTAATTTAAAAAATTTATTGTTTTCAACTTATAAGGAGTAAGTACTATTTTTATAATCAGTAACTCTATCTTCCACCATATACATTTACTTTTATAATTTTGAAAGTTAAAAAAAAACCTTTATTAAATATGTTTCAAAATTTCTCTTTTCCAACTTATTTCCCTCTTACTTATTTAAAAAAAGCTTTAAAAAAAAAACAAAAAAAACCACCAAGTAAAGAAAAGTCTTCAGCTATCCAATACAAATAATTACAAAAATGTCTATCCCATATCAATATTTGCTGCTGTTAAGTTTATCTTTCTGATTAAAGGTCCTCAACAAAAGGGTTAAGGAAAAAAGAAATTTAATTTAAATCCTTAACACTTGTAATATATTTCAGGAAATGAAAATGCATAACATGAAAAATAGGTAATCCTGGGACATAATTTTTTTTTAACACAGGAAAGCAGAAATAGAAGGTAAATTTAGACTAACAATATGCCTTTTCATTCCAAGACTGGTTAAAGACACCATGAATGATGTCTGTCAGTTTCTACTGCAAACACTACAAAAGTGGAATTTAGGAAAGTAAATCAAATTGGTTGTAATTTTAGTTTTTAATGTTAATATTATAAAACTAACATATAAGTCTATATTATTTTCCAAAAGGCCAGCATTCCACCTTGCTTTTATATCCTTGCCTTTCACTATGGGAATTCTCTAGCAAAGGGCAAGAATTCATTTCCCCCATTACAATTCTGCCATAATCTATTCTTTTTATTTGCAATGCTTAAAACTTAAAATCTTTTATATTTACATGAGAAACTAAAAACTTTTCCTCCTATTGCAAAAGTGTAATGAACTAACAAAAAAATTTTAAGTAAGTACTCACGCCAGTGTCATATTGTTGCTTGGATCAAGGCCAACTTCTATAACAGTAGTGCCTTCGATATCCACTTCTTTGCAGGGAGTTGTATTTCGCCCAGTTACCCTGCAGGCCTGATAAAATCCATGTGGTTTCACTCGACCAGAGTCATTGCCCACAAACACCTGCAACACCACTGGCTCATTATGCCCTTCCAGCTGGAATGAGATAACATGGAGCATAAACACTAATTAGCATTTCAAATAATCGAACTGTAAAAATCAAACACTTAAGGTCAAGTCTTTTTTTTTTTTCCATTTATTTTTATTAGTTGGAGGCTAATTACTTTACATCATTGCAGTGGTTTTTGTCATACATTGGGATGAATTAGCCATGGATTTACATGTATTCCCCATCCCGGTCCCCCCTCCCACCTCCCTCTCCACCCGATCCCTCTGGGTCTTCCCAGTGCACCAGGCCCGAGCACTT